GTATTTGAAAACGTACGGTTTCCCTCTGGTTGAGAACAGGAGAATTGAAGGGGAAAGTCTTTCAGTGCTGTACTAATGGAGCTGGTCTTCTCCTTCCCCAGTTGATGATAATGACTTTTTATCTCTGCCTTGGTATAACCTAGGAGGATGGTTATGATGAGTGTGAATTCTTTTTCCTGTTTGACCTGGAAGACTTCCGAAAAGGAGATCTTTTTACAATAATGATAAAAGGTGAACCAGTGAAGGGGGTAGGGGTGTTAAAAAAAAAAAAAAGGCTTATTGAAAGAGGAAGCTAATCTGTATTGTCAGCTCAGGCCACAGCTAGAGCGTCATTTCTTGACAGATGAAACCATTTCTCAGAAAACCTACTGTTTGAGGGTGGGAGGTGAAGGGAATATTCATCAGAAGTTTGCTCAATTTTTATCCAATTTACAAGCTACAATTCTATTGGATATTGCATTTCTTCATTCACTTGTAGACAAGAATTAAGAACAGATGGTGCCCCCCATTTAAAATATATATGTTCTTGATTGTTCAGCTTTTGGTGTTATTAGATGTTGAGAATTAAGAATTCCTGTGATTGCTTTTTGTATCTCATGCAGTGTAGTTTGAACTGTCTTCATTTTTCTCCCTTTGCTGGATTTTTTTTAAAAAATAGGAAAGAGGGAGATAACCATATACTGAACTTAGAATGATGATAAAGCACTGGGGGCTTTGGGGCTTAAAACTTAGAACCCCCAGTTATAGGACTCTTTCTATTTGGTAATCTCATTTCAGAGGTTTCTGGGCCGAATAAACTCTGGGAGAGGACAAAGCATTTAACTTTCTGGTGTTTTTATTTTTGTTTTCTTGTACTAATTCAAAAGTCAGAAGTTTGGTTTGGAAGAACACTTCACAGATTTTGGGCTGACTAATAGTAATAGGGCAGAGAAAGGGGACATTCTGACTCTTAGGTTGTGAGGGGACCTGTGTCCACTCTCGTAGATATTTTAAACCACACATGAAGTGATTCTTAATTGGAGAAGAGGCATTGTCTGTTATCTTTGCTAGAGAATATAAATCATAAAGTCACAATTTCTCATAAAAAGGCTTTGATAGTTTCACTTCCTGAAATGTACTGTATAGTTACTATCTTTGTAGATAGTTTTAATATGATATGTTTTACTTAACACTAGAAACGCTCTTACTTTTTTTTTCCTACGGAATCAGAATGTTAATTATGATTTGAAGTTTTTATTAATATTCTTAATAAAGCAGAAGAATGAAAATAAATTTCTAATAATGTAGGTGAATTTCAGAGTTTTATTTTTAATTAGTCCTGAGGAGAAAATATAGGTTCAACCAACATTTGTAGCCAGTTCTAAATTGCTAGAGTTTTCCCAAGGATTACCTTCCTTTTTTAGTCTTAATCTGCTAGCAACATTGAAAAAAATGTTTTTTTCTGAGAAAATTCTGTCTTCCTTTGCTTTTGTTGACTATATATAATAAATGTGAGAGGGTAGCAGGGCCACCATTTGGCGCCAGACTCTGCAGGACCCTGGGTGTCTTTTAGGTAGCACCCTGCTCCCCTTTGGTTAGACCTTGGGGCTCCAGGAAATGTATTTGTGCTTTTACGTGTGATTCGGTGTTTTCAACATATTGGAGTGACAGCTGGTGTAGATTTTAAAGCTAGAGGGAAAATAACTGAATTCTAGTTCAAGGTCCTGAGGGCAGGGTGTCAAATACTCTTAAAAACAAACTGTCGAAGGTCTTTCTCTGAGTTTATTTCTTATTTCCTCCAGAACTTTGGATGGCAACCTGCAAGATAACTCAATTCCCAGCGCCCTGGAGAGGAACCTTCCCAGTTTTTATGGATTCTTGGCTTCTGTTGGCCAAATTGCTTTTTTCACTTGTGCAATAGATATGATTAACCTTTGGGGTTTGTGTTCTTTCTGTGATTACAACATGAGGAAATACATTCCTTTGGTATTATATTCTAGTGGAATGCGAATTTTAGGGATGGTGTAGCATCTAAAAGGGGACATTGTGATGTATCAGTGTTATCTAGAAGATATATGATCTTTGTTTTGCTAATTGGATAGCTGACCTTTTTACCATCTCACACAATTTAACAGTTAAAGGGTGATTAAGCTGTTAAAAAAAAAAGTGACTGTTTAAAAAAAAAGTGCTTGCTGACATCATCTTTCCGAGAACACTAGTATAAGTGATTTACTATAACAAGATCGTAGTTTTTCCTGTTGGCAAATGACATGTAATATTTACACAGAGGTCTTGGGTTCAGTCCAGCAGAAACATCTCAGATAAATTGATGTGTGAAACTGTAGCCATTTAACATTTTCTTTCATATGGAGATAATGTAAACAGTTTTTTGTTTTGTTTTTTAAGTTTAAAAGTGGGGAGAAAAAGGATATTTAGTATAAATTTCCTTCAGGGGAGCAGTTTAAATCGAATGTATTCTCCAGAGTTAAACATCAGACGTGTTCGGTTTATAATTCAGTTACATTCTTCTGACAGTTGTATATTTAGGATACTAAGCCTGTGTTAACTCTGTTATTATGCACATGCCTTCTCTCTCTGAGAAAACTTCTCCTTTTCCATCAAAATGATATAAGGTAAAGTTTTGTAGACTACATATTTACATCAGCATAAATTCTAAATCTGTGAGGTTTTTACTTTTTTTAACCCTAAAGCATGATTTTTTTTTTTTTTTAAAGATTTTATTTATTTATTTGACAGAGACAGAGACAGCGAGAGAAGGAACGCAAGCAGGGGGAGTGGGAGAGGGAGAAGCAGGCTTCCCGCTGAGCCGGGAGCCCGATGTGGGACTCGATCCCAGGACCCCAGGATCATGACCTGAGCCGAAGGCAGTCGCTTAACCAACTGAGCCACCCAGGCGCCCTAAAGCATGATTTTTAATGGCTCCATTAAAGTAGTACGTCTTTCATATATACTGTAATTTAACTGTTGTTGGACATTTTGGAAATTTGTGTTATTTCCCCTTTTGTGTGTTACTGTTAATCCCTGTGTCTGTCTCTGGCTGTATGCATTGGTTTCATTCACAGAAATGGGAACCTTGGATTTTAAAGGATTTACACCTGTTACTCTAAACCAGGCATCTGAAAAGTTCTCTTATAGTTTCATCTAGTGCTTACTAAGGGGCTAGACGTGGCCTGGACAGCACTGGGCATTATCATTTAAAAAACTAAAAACAAACAAAAAATTTTGCCCAAATTTTTTAAATAAAAAAAAGTTATCTTTTCATTTTAATTTGTATTTCTTTGATTAATAGTGAGGGTAGTCTTTTGTGTATTGTCCTTGTTCACTTTTAAAAACAGGGTCTCTGTCGTTTCTTATTGATTTATAGGTACTCTACATATCTTAATGCTTTGGTTGTATTTTGGTTTTTCTTAGTAGGATTCATGACATTTTCTTAATTTTTGAGGCCTCTTTTTATAATTGATGTATAGTGGACATACAGTATTATATTAGTTTCAGGTGTACAGTATAATGATTCAACATTTATATACATTCTGAAATGCTTATGACCCCAATAAGTGTAATTACCGTCTGTTACCATAGAAAGTTATTACAATATTATTGACTAGGGGCGCCTGGGTGGCTCAGTGGTTAAGCGTCTGCCTTTGGCTCAGGTCATGATCCCAGAGTCCTGGGATCAAGCCCCACATTGGGCTCCCTGCTCAGCGGGAAGCCTGCTTCTCCCTCTCCCACTCCCCCTGCTTATGTTCCCTCTCTCTCGCTGTGTCACTCTGTGTCAAATAAATAAATACAATCTTTAAAAAATATATATTATCGACTGTATTCCCTATGCTGTACTTTCCATCCAGGGGACTGACTTACAACCGGAAGTTTGTAACTCTTAATACCCTTCACCTATTTTGCTCATCTCCCCACCCTCCTCTCTGACAACCACTGGTTTTGTTCTCTGCGTTTATGAGTCTGTTTCTGTTTTTTTGTTTGTTTTGTTCTTTTAGATTCCACATATAAGTGAAGTCATATGGTCTTTGTTTGTTTTTGCCTGACTTATTTCAATTGGTATAATACCCTGTAGGTCATCCATGTTGTTGCATATGGTGATATTTTTACTTTTAAAAGCAAGAAATATATTTAAACTAGATATATTTATATTGTTGTAACACAGTCTAAGTAATGAAGCATCTTTAGTTGTCTTGTAAAGAATTAGAACATTCCAGGGTGCCTGCTGGTTCAGTCAGTAGAGCATGCGACTCAATCTTGGGTTTGTGAGTTGGAGCCTACTTAAAAAAAAAAAAAAAGAGGGCTCCTGGGTGGCTCAGTTGCTTAAGCAACTTCCTTCTGCTCAGGTCATGATCCTGGAGTGCCAGGCTCGAGTCCCACATCGGGCTCCCTGCTCAGCGGGGAGTCTGCTTCTCCCTCTGACCCTCCCCCCTCTCGTGTTCTCTCTCTCTCAAATAAATAAATAAAATCTTAAAAATATATTTAAAAAAAAAGAAAGAAAAAGAATTAGTGTATTCCATCTGTATTTAAAAATTTTTAGCTTAATTTAAATATAATTAAGTACTGAAAATTATTTAAATATAGTTGAATGCAGGTCAGTTGAGGAATGAAGAAAATGAACTGTAGTTACCGTGGTTTTTTGTAGATAGACCTATCAGTTCTTAGGCACCAAGATTCTAAATGATCCTTTTACTTTTAGGATGGTAGGTGCCTTATTCCTTTTACTATATTTTACTCTTTGGTCAATTTTTCTAGTTACGGTAGCTAGCCTACTACAAACAAAAGCATTTGCAATACTACAGTAACAAACAACAGGATTTCATTTTTATACTTCCTTTGCAAGAGGGAATAATTCAGGACTTGACTCAACTCTCTGTGGTGGTAATTTATTTTTCTTTGTTTTGTTTCTTCTATCATTTTATAAATACCTAGAACATTAATATTAAAGTAAAAAAAGAAATGAGAAGTTTGAAATGACAATTATGGTTTATCCTTCTCTGTTTCAGATGATCACAGTCGTGTTAAGCTGCAAAATGCTGAAAATGATTATATAAATGCCAGTTTAGTTGATATAGAAGAGGCGCAAAGGAGTTACATCTTAACACAGGCAAGTGATGTGATGTCAAGCAGATGCTTTGCAGTGCAGTTATTGTGGTTGGTCTGCTTTGAAACACAGCTAAAAGGATGTCTTTACTTCTTTTGGAAATGAAATGCCATTTCAGTTTTTTCTGTTGTTATGTACTAAAATGGAGACATTTCAGTGTTTTGCAGATTTGTATGTGAATATGAAATTAAAGTTATTTTTAAAAAGGAAAATTTTTTAACAAATGGCTTATACCAGTTCTTTTAAGGCAAATTATCATCCTTTACATTGATACAAAATGTTTGTTAATGCTTTGTTAAGTTCTCTTCACATAATCTGTATCATGACCAGAGGCCCTTTGAAGGCCCTTCTCGACCCCCTTCTCTGGCATGTATTTTCAGAGGATATGAACATGCTTCAGTGATGTCTGGCCTTTGTTCAGAGTGAGGGTGGTAAGGCCAGGTGCCCAGAATACTGGCTGGGAGGCCAGAAAGCATGAGGGTTCCTTGTGGCATTCTGACTGACTGCTTCTTGGCACATTGGCCACACCCATATCCCAGCACTATTCTTTCATTCTTTGATAATAGAAATTATTTTGGTTTATCCACACCAGCTGCCCTTTATCAAATGACAGAGGCTTAATGAGCAGTGCTGTTATATCCCCCAGGTAATGATTTTGAAATTCAAAAGATAAGCTATATGTTCATAATATTTGAGCTTTTTAAAAATTTGGATCAGAATAACCTGTTACTGAAAGAGACAACAGTTTCATATAGTAAAAAGATCTTCTATTAGACTATTTCTAATTGACAGGAAATGAAAAATAATTACTTCATTTTACTTAAAGTAGCTGCTATATGTTAAAAAAAGAAAAAGAGAACCTATGTAAAAAAAAAATGGCAAGGAACATAAATTCACAGTTAAAGAAAAATATAAAGGTATACAATACACCTATGAAAAGATATTCAATTTTTCTAGTCATTAGGGAATATAATTTTAAACCAGTGTTCAGTTATCACTTTTCACCAGTGAAAATAGCAGAGATTTAAAAGTTACTCAGTGGTTAAATATGTACAGACATAAAGATATATGTGAGGGTGTTTGTTGCAACTTAATTTTAATAGCACAGGACCAGAAATAATAGGACAGAAATAATCTGTGAGGGACTGGCTAAATAAATTACACATATACCATTAATATTGGTTATTTCTAAGAATTAGGAATAATTAGACTTTACTTTGTTGTTTTCTGCCTTTTTGTAATATTTGGAGCTTTTCTTATGAGTATTCATGAATTATTTATTTATTTTTGTGTGTGTGTGAGTAAAGCGATAGAAGTTTATTAAGTGAGGAGACAGAAAAAGCTCTCGAGTGAGAGGGGTCCCAACAGGGTTGCCCTCAGGACATCTTTAATAAACTCATTTTTAGAATTTTAATTTACTTTTTATCTGAAAAAACTATAATGTTCAAAAATAGAGAAAATAATTACCCTAGATCCCTTATCACACTCCTTTCTTCCTCGCTCTCTTCTTTTTTCCCAGTCTTGTTCATAATCCTAAATTTTGTAGGTACTTCTCAGGGTTCTGGTTTAGGATTTATTTCCCCTTTTTCAGTCTATACTAGAGACTTCAACTCTCTGGAACCATATGTTCAACCTTTATATCTTAAGAGAATGTAGACACTGGATTCACAGCATCTGTGCCCAAATCCTGGTCCAACTACTTCATTGGGTATTCATTCATCTGACAAAGATTTATTGAGTACCTACTCTGTGGTAGGCATTGTTTAAATAAAACAGACAGTGGGGCACCTGAGTAGCTCAGTCAGTTAAGCATCCTACTCTTGATTTCAGCTCAGGTCATGATCTCAGGGTTGTAAGTTCCAGCTCCATGTTGGGCTCCATGCTGGGTGTGGAATCTGCTTGAGATTCTCTCTCTTTCCCTCTCCAACTGCCCCTCCCCCTTCTTAAAATTTTTTTTAAAATTAAATAGACATTAAGCAAAACCCTGTTGTTATGAACTTTACATCATAGTAGGAAATAAAATTAATAACAGCTAGCAGTTTTGTAACCTTATTCTGTACTTTATGTGTTTTGTATAATTTAAGGCTCAGGATAACTCTCTGGTAAACACTGTCATCACCCTGGTTTAATGCACGAGGAATTAGCTAAAGACCAGGTACATTAAACTTTACCAAGCCCATACAACAAGTGAGTTGAAGCCAGAATTTGAAGCCCATTGGCTCCATGGGTCATGCTCTACAACCATAAGATTGCTGTGTGACCTTGGACAAGCTACCTAACTCCCCAAGCCTATATATATATATTTATATTATAGATGTATACCTGTATTATCTGTGAAACAGTGCTGAGTGAAACTCTTACAGTTCCTGGTACTGTGGTAAGCCCTCCGTGGATTATTCGTTGTGGCATTTGTTACTGCTTTTTATTAGTAGTAGTAATAGAAGTAATAATAATCCTCTCATAAAATTTTGTAAATCCCATAATGATAAAGAAATTGCCTATTAATTGTGTTTAAGTGTCCTGTCCCTATTGGACTGCTCTGTGTGTCCTGACAGAGCTCCCTGCATTTAGAGCTAGAGGACTCAGAAGGCTGTCTTCAGCTTTTTATTCTTTCCTGAATTTTCCCCCTATATTTTCCAGGTCTTAACTGGATATTTTTACCCAGATGACTCTTTTACATTGCAAATTCTGTATTTTCTACATCTAACTTTTTTTTTTTTTTTTAAACCAAGCCAGCTCCCTTCCTGTTTTTCTCACCTGGGTTAAAGCTATGCTCATCATCTACCGAATCCTAATGCAGTTGCTTAAGGCTGTGCTGTAGCATCCTTTCTACTCTCGAAGATCTGGTGGTTCACCTCTTACTGTTGTGGCACTTGAGATGTTTCAGTTAGTAGGACAAGGACTTCTCCTTGCCTCTTAGTAAACTCTTTGAAGGCTGAGAATATTTTACAGGACAGAGAAAACTAGAGATGCTGAATGTTTATAAACCTTAGCTGTTCTAATTGTCCTTTGTTGCTTCTTTTTGTCATCTTTTTCCTCTGAATTTTTTTAAAAAATATATCAGTCCTTGCTATAAATCTCCATTTCGGGGGAAAAAAAATTTGTTAATGTTGCTTGTAGGTGGAAGAGCTGAGAGATACCCTCCTCACCAACCACCTTAGAACCACTGACAGAATGTGTTTTGTGTTTCCATATGTATACACACTGAGTGACTTCTGGTGAATTGATAGATCGATTTTTTCAGATGAAAGAAAAGGCTTTCATTTTACTGGGGATTTTCTCACTTTGTTTTGTTTTAGAAGTAGATCAAGTAATAGATAATATACATTAAGTGAGTAGAACAGTATCTTCAAACATTTGGTTGTCATTACTTAGGATTCTAAGTAGATTTCTGGCCTTTTTATAACTTAGAAGCTTAGAGTTTATTAATTTAAATAATATTAATAGAACATCTGCTACAAACCAGGGAATACAATTGCCCAAAAGATGCTTTCAGCCTCAAACCATGTGAATCACCTTGTTTGACATGGGAAGCTGAAGTTCCAGGAGACCTGGCCTCCAGCCCCTAAAGCTGCCCCTCCCTCTGTCCTGTGAGGAAAATGCTTGCTGACTTGCATTAGCTGCAGCAGAGCCTCATTCATTTTCACCTTTAACATTAGTTATAATTTGACCATGGCCTTTTCATCTCCTATTTGCCCTTTCTTCTGCCCTGTGCTACCGCCAAGCAAAATGTGAAGATAACTGGATTTGATTTTTTTTCCCCCATGGCAGTACTGTAATATGAACAATTGCCCCTTTTAAGTCCTCTGCTGAGGTCGCACATGCTGTGGTTTTTGTAGATTAACAGCTTCTTAGTGGTTCAGACACTTTGAAATTTCCGCTTTTTCTGGAAATCTTGTTCTAGTTAACTTGGGGTGGTTGGTTGGTCAGTGACGGCACGGATTTCCTCTTTTGTAGGACTGCCATGATCCATGGCAGGCAGGGCCTCTCTTCCTGCTGTGGAAGCTGAAAGGGACAGAGATTTCCTCTGCAGCTAGAACATGACCAGTCAGTTGTCCCTGCCCATGGTTTTGACTCCAGTTTGTTTAACGGTTATGCGTGATGGCTGTAGCCACCTTAGCACTGGCGATGCCAGCAAAGCAAGGTGAGAGTAGTACCAGCGTCAGGAGCACTGTGCCAGGCTGACTCCTTTGAGCAGAATCTTGCCTTTACATTGGTTCCCACTGAGGCCTGGCTTTCCAGCCCTCAACTCTGAAAGTCATCTGATAGCCTGAAAGATTCCTTTTCTGCCTAAGTCAATAAAAGTCGGTTTTGATCATTTATAAGCAACTAGTACAGACCTATTTTTTTTAACTCAAGTGGATTTAAAGTCATGATTTACTTATTATGATTCAATACATTGTTCTTAAACCGGAAGCATACTTGAGGGAATTTTCCTTGAACCTTGTTCCATCTCCTTTCTCTTACCTCCTTTTTCTTCTCTGTTCTTACAGGGCCCACTTCCTAATACAGGTTGCCATTTCTGGCTCATGGTTTGGCAGCAAAAAACCAAAGCAGTTGTCATGCTAAACCGAGTTGTGGAGAAGGAATCGGTGAGTAATACTTAATATTTACAACTTAGTGTACTGCCTGTATTGTTAGCTTATAAATGTTTTCATACTTCTTTTGGGATAGTCATTCATTTACTGGTTTTGGCCTTGAATTGCTAAAGGCTAGTAGTCAGGGTATTTCTGACCAGAAGTAGTATATCCTTTTCCTTTCTTGCCTTAAGTATTTAAGTAATAGTTGTACACCACTACCTTCTAAGATGTAAATGTAATGAAACAAATATTGACCAGTGGTGACATAGATCTTTGGAATCCCTAGGCTTTATTAGAATTTTTATAATTATTATCAAAATCTTGAGAAGTTTAGAAAGGATTAAAGTGACAGGTTTTTGTTAAGCTATATGAATTTTTATTGGCTCTTAGGTCACGAGACAGTAAGTTTGGGAATGTATAAATATATTAAACTTGAGGTACAGTCTAAACACAGTGCTAATTAGTTAAGTCTTTTAACTTTTGTAGCTTTAGATCCTTTTCTGTCAGAGAAGCAAATTGGAAAGTATTGTCAGTAAGGTCTCTTCCAGCCTAAGATCTTCTTCGGATTCCTGATTCTTTTTTATAAATTCATATTTGGTGGCTTTCGATGGTGCTGCAAATTATTCTACTCTCTTTCTAATCCTGAGTGGCATTCACATACCAGAATGTCCAGCAATATTGGCGTAGTTATTTACAGTGGCTTTTTCATGGCTTCCAGTGTGACTTAAAAATTAAGTGATGATGACATTGTTTGAACAATTTGAACAGCATTGCAGAGTAGATGATTTATAAGTTTCATCTCTCCTCTTGGAGCATAATTAGTATATTAATAAGATAAGACTCACTAGAAATTAGAAATCATATTTATGGTGGTTGGATCTAGATGCTTAAAAAGATTCAGGTTTAATTATTTTGGGGAAGATTACTTCATGAGTGATACTGTTTTGTTTATGAAGAAGCCCATAATGTCTGATTATCTTTCTTTTTGCGGCGTTAGCAGCCATTGCTGGTCAGTGCTTAGTTCCTTAATTAGTTACAGGTTACAAAATAGTGATACTCCAATTTTACCATTTCTTCTTAAATTTTTGTTGGAATACTTCTATGGAAAGAAACTTTCAGAGTGCCTGACTCTTGGTTTAGGCTTAAGTCGTGATCTCAGGGTCGTGAGATCAAGCCCCACATTGGGCTCTGCACTCAGCATGGAGTCTGCTTAAGTTTCTGCTTAAGTTTCCCTCTGCCTCCCCTCCCCTCTTTCTCTCTCTAATAAGTAAATCTTTAAAAAAAAAAGAAAAAAGAAATTTCCCTTCTAGTTAGTTGACCACTTTTATATAGGAAAAGGAGTTTACAAAATAGTTAATTCCCTAGTGTCTTCAACAGGTGACCAGTTAGGTTTTTTTGGTGTGGGGGCAGGGGCAGGAGGGGATCAATTATTATGAACTCATAGATTTTTTTTTTAAGATTTTATTTATTTATTTGACAGAGACAGCAAGAGAGGGAACACAAGCGGGGAGTGGGAGAGGGGGAGAAGCAGGCTTCCCACTGAGCAGGGAGCCTGATGCGGGGCTCAATCCCAGGACCCTGGGATCATGACCTGAGCTGAAGGCAGACGCTTAACGACTGAGCCACCCAGACTCCCCTGAATTCATAGATTTAAACATCTTTGATGTACTTCACTCCATTGCAGTTATTATCCGTCTTAGTAGTTGAATTATTCCTCTGTTGGCTAGCAGGAATCTCTTCAAGTTGGGCTCTGAGTCAGAAATCTAAGAGATAAAACCAAAGAGTCTTTAATAATTTTCTTACTATCTGGAATGACTACTTAACCTCTTCTTCATAGAATCAGTCATTTCTCTAGGAACCTTGGTTTCTTTTATTGGGCAGTGATACTTCAACATGACAATAAAAATAGGGATGTTGGGACGCCTGAGTGGCTCAGTTGGTTAAGCGTCTGCCTTTGGCTCAGGTCATGATCCCAGGGTCCTGGGATTGAGTCCTGCATTGGGCTCCTTGCTTGGTGGGGAGCCTGCTGCTCCCTCTGCCTGCCACTCTCCCTGCTTGTGCGTGTTCTCTCTCTCTCTCTCTCTGACAAATACATCAAATCTTTAAAAAAAAAATTAGGGATATTTACTGATGCTGGGTTGATCATTGTTTTTAGAGCTTTTTGGTGAACAGAGCTAAGGAAAAAATGTGTTTGTGTTAGATAACACATTTCAAGGATTCATACTGATACTTCCAATTTAAATTTAGAACTGAGGGGGTTGGCTTAATGCATTCTACCTTATATATCTGTTGCCTCCTTTTTCCATACCATGAATCCTGCTTTTCAAAGACACAATGGATAAAGAATATCTTACAATGACTCATTTACTTTGTCCCATATTATACACCAGAATGACTCATAATAAGAGTATCAACTCCATCACCAAAATAATTACTGAAAAAGTTTTAAATTTTTTATGTTTTTCCCTCTCTTTTTGTTTTTAAGTTGTACTTTACCTACATTGTCAGAGTATGTAACATAACTACAGTCTTTCTCTTATATCCCTTGTAAAATCTTAGTTCTACGTGTAAATATATATTTAATTTACATTGTTGGTCTTATTGATGTCTCTCCAGTTGTTCTGTAGATATCTCATTCTGTAGTGCATCCTAAGGAAGGGACTCATGGGCATTTTAGTTCCTGATTTCTTACCTGTCGATGAGAGTTTAATCTGCTGTCTTAATGCTTAAAAGTCACTTTGACAGAATATAAAATCTTGGCTCACATTTGCTTTTCTTTGAGCAACTTAAATACATTACTCCATTTCCCTTCCCTTTGGCTTTAGAGATTACTGACAAAGTCAGTTGGACATCTGATTTTATTTCCTTTGCAAGTCATGTGTTCTTTTTATCTAAGTTACCCAAAGGCTTTTATTTTCTTCAAATCCCATTAATTTTACCAAAATATGTCTTAGTGTTGGTCATTCTGGGTCAGTTTTTCTAGATGCGTAGTATGCTCTTTCAATTTATGATTTTTAAAAGAAGAATATTGATTATACTTGTTAATATTTACTGTTTGCTTGCTTTAGTGTTCTTTGGATCCTATTCACGTTAGATTTTCTTTGTTTATTTTTATATTTGTCACTTTCTCTTAAATCCTGTTGTCACTCCATTTCTTTTATTATCTGCTGTGTTTATTCATGCCTCTGTTCCTTTTAGTTTAGTCTTCATTTCTGAAATGGTGTGTTCTTTGATTCCTAATTTTTTTCTGTCTCCTGTCACCTCATTTCTGAGTTGTTCTCATTCTCCTTTATGCTCTTTCACTTATTGTATCATATTTAAAGTGTCTTTTAGCACCTTTGGAAGTATCAGCTCATAGTAATTATTTGTTTGGAGGTGTTGTTACTGTTTGTGATTTGTAGCTGTTTGTGATTTGGAAAAGAAATGACCATATTTTATAAGGATACTTTTGTAGTGTTTTTTTTTCGTAATGAAGTGGCTCTTTATCTCATCTTGCCACAGTCTGTTGGTCTCATAATTTGGCTTTTGGGAAGATCCTTTTATTGTCACAAATAGGAATTCCATATTAGTAGTTCTGCCAAAATGTACCAACTCTAGATAAAGAGGGCTTTTCTTCTTCTTTTTTTAAAGATATTGTTTATTAGAGAGTGCGTGCGCACATAAGCAGGGGGAGGGGCATAGGGAGAGAGATAAGCAGGCTCCCCAGGCACAGTCCTGGGTAATGTGATAGAGTAAATATTCTTAATATTTCAGTATTTCCTATATTTTTTAAAAACCGAAAATCCACTGAGTGGGGAGCCCAACACAGGGCTCGATCCCAGGACCCTGAGATCATGATCCAAGCCAAAGTCAGATGCTTTTTTTTTTTCCTCCTAATTAAATTTTGTTAATTAATATATAATGCATTATTTGTTTCAGGGGTACAGGTCTGTGATTCATCAGTCTTACACAGTTCACAGCGCCCACCATAGCACATACCCTCCCCAATGTCCATCACCCAGCCACCCCATCCCTCCCACCCCCCTCCACTCCAGCAGCCCTCAAGTTTTTTTTGTGAGATTAAGAGTCTCATGGTTTTTCTCCCTCTCTGGTTTCATCTTGTTTCATTTTTCCCTCCCTTCCTCTATGATCCTCTGTCTTGTTTCTCAAATTCCTCATATCAGTGAGATCATATGATGCTTGTCTTTCTCTGATTGACGAAGTCAGATGCATAACTGACTGAGCCACCCAGGCACCCCAGAGGGGGCTTATCTTCTGATTTATTTCCCTGACTTAATTTTAGTAAGTGAATATACAATGTTATTTCTAGATAAATAGTATTTGGTAGCAGATTCATGGGTATTTGTAGGAAATTCTTGTAAAATGAAGCCTTTTCAATACTGTTTGAAGAAAAGATTCTTACAAGAGGTTGATAATTTTGGAAATGTAAAGTGAATGCCAGTATGATGTTAAAATATAGGTTATCATGCTTTAGAAATGACAAATTCACTTTTATGAACATACCTGTTTCTGGCTTTTTTTTTTTTTTTACTATAAGTTATAGGAACATTTTACAAACCTTTTATAAAATGTCAATCTTACTAAAATACATTGAGCATCAGATATAGTGCAATTGTTCATAGATTTGGGTACTTGAAAAAAATATAGCATGTGTATGTGTGTGGTTTGTCTTCCTTTCCCAGCTTTTTAGGGTTTCATAATGTCTAGGAACTAATATCTACATATTCTTAAATTTAGGTTAAATGTGCACAGTACTGGCCAACAAAAGATGATCAAGAGATGCTGTTTAAAGAAACAGGATTCAGTGTGAAGTTTTTGTCAGAAGATGTGAAGTCATATTATACAGTACATCTACTGCAGTTAGAAAATATCAATGTAAGACTTTTCATGCCTAAAAGATTGGACTTTATATATTGCTGATTTTCAGAATTATTTTATGTCATTAGATTTGAAGTTTGGGGCTGCATATACATTTCGATAGTATCTATAATAGTATATAGTCATAAGCATGGTGTTTACATTGTGTTTCCTACATGCGGTAGCTCTCTGAGGACTCTTGAGAAAACCTAGAAACTAAGGATTTTAAAGTTCAGGTTGAGATATGAGGATTGAAGATAATTTATTAAGATTACTTGGGGATGAAGAGAGAGAGAGCTTTATAATCAGGCTAACCTGAATTCAAATCCCAGCTCTGTTGTTTAGTAGAAATATCCCTGGGACCTGTTCCTCAACGTCCCTCATCCTTTCCTCGTCTGGAAAGCAGAGATTGTGATAGCGCCCTTTCAGGGCTGACGTGGAGATCAAATGAAGATGTGTGCGCAGAGCAGCTGATGTAGAATACGTGCCCAGTCAACATGGCAGCACTTGGTGCTTCTGAGAGTGGCAGGCCAGTCAAGAAAATAACTTACTGGAATGTTGTTAATTCGATGATTCACCACAGAGAAATTTGTCCTTACTGAATTGGGGAAAATGGTGAAATAAATTTAGCATATGGTCCCAAGAACATTCATATGGATCTTTTCCAGAAATACAAGAATTGTTCCTTATTTCTTGGTTGAGATACATGTACATGGTGGATTTGTGAACCTGCTATTTTCAAGTTGGGGGTCAAGACATTTCTCCCCTTTTCACCACCTACCTGTTTTGCCTTCTTTGTGTTGTAATCAGGATAACTGGAAAATATGAAATGAGAGTGATTCTGGGATGCTCTTAGGAGCTAGGAAAACTAGAAAATAGGAAAATATTTGTTGGCCAAAAAATGATTGCAGGAATGTATCTAGTCTGAATAGTGAGATACTGTTTTAGTTAACCATTAACTGAAAGAAATTATTAACATGGGATCATTGACCAAATAAGTTTTATAGAGAAGAGATATATAAAGTGCATACACACACACACACACACTTTTAGATACGAAGAAATACATTTTAAGGTTGATCTCTTGAAACGCCTGTTTTTTGCTGCCTACTGTAAGCACAGGTGCGTACTGTTGAGGGCCCAGGCCCAGCTTCGCATGACATCCGTAATTAAGTTTTTATGTGATCTCTTAGGTTATCTGAGAAGTCTCAAGGTTGGGAAATACAAGACTTAGATTTATTTATAAATTTCCCTTATTTGTAGTTTTTTGTACCAACTATTCCATTTACATATGTCTTAAGCTGCCCTGAGATACATCAACAACTGTTTGATCCTAGATTGTGCAGTACTTCTTGCCAGAAACAGAACTGCTTTTCTATAAACTTCTCATGATTCTTTGCATCATCTTCTCTTGGTATTTATCCCAGGTACCTCATCTGCTTCTGGCCTAAAAACTGATAGGAATGGAGAAGGGCATAGGTGTTTTTCCCTGTTTCTGAAACCTATCCTACCTAATTAAGAGTTAATTATACCTTAAAATAAAATGCGTTTTGTATTTTATCATTTTGTAAAGCACTTTTACATATAATTTGACCCACAGTCTTCCTATAATGTGATAAATATTCTTAATATTTCAATATTTCCTATATTTTTTAAAAACCGAAAATCCATTAAGGTTATACGATTTTTCCTGTAAATAGATTACTCAGCTAATAACTGACAGGCCAGAACTCAAATCCTGATCTCCTGACTTGGAATGACATGGGGCTAATAAGTCTTTTGAAAAAAGTGTTAATTGTCCTAGCAAAGGAAGATTCTTGGTTCGAAAGCATCTTTCTGAGTTGAGGCATGCGAACTGTCCAACCACTGTTTCAGTTGCTAGCAACTGTGTGATTTCTTATTGGCCTGGGTTCAGAGTACACCATAATTAATAGCAACAATATGTTTACATTCTACCTTACAATCTTTAGTAAGAACTAGGAATGTTAGAAGAACAAAGTAGCATTTCAGCATGAGAAGCAGAATTGTATTTGGTTAAGTATTTACACTCTGGATCCAGATTGCCTGAGTTTAAATCCCAACTGTACGCCTCCTGGTTGTGTGACTGGTCCCACTATTTACCCTCTGTGCCTCAGTTACTCATCTACAGAATCAGGATAAGGACACACGTACCTCAGAGGGTTGCTGTAAGGATCAAGTGAATTAATGCTGTAACAGGCCTAAGACTCCATGCAGGATTCCCAATTAGTAGCTTTAGTTGTGTGTGTCTGTTTCCTTTGTCATATCAATGAATTGGGAAAGACTGCAGAAAGAACAAGTTGAGGGAGAAAGAAATACCAAAGGAGTGAGAAAGGTGATGCTGCAGGTAAGGAGTGGTCACCAACCTCATGCTGAGCTGCAGAGAACCAGTTTGCAGCTAAAGGAGTCTGACTTGTCTGTAGTAACAGGTCTAGGGCCTAAGCTGTGGTTTGTGTGGGCCCTGCTCTTTTACAGACCTCTGGTCTAAGGGAGCAGTAAAGCTGCACACCAGCTGCCCTTTCCAGTATCTTCAGTAGAGCTAAGAGTTTGAACTTTTGCCCATGAATGAAGAGATTCCATCTCTGCTTTTAAAGCAGTCCCGTGGCTTAAGCTAAGGGGAAGGTTTTGTAGGGCTTTTAAAATATAAGGTCATCTAGAGTGCTTATTTGTCTTTCAGGATTTTCTTTTTAGTTGCCCTTCACTATTTTCCATAATATTGTTGGCCAGCTTTATGTTTATCAAGTTCCAGGAATACTATTGTAATGCTGGCTGCCTTCTATTTCTCTGTCCCTGTAGATTTGCCCAAAACAGGATGAGTGCCTAATTATTACCATGCTTAGCTGGGATTTGATTCAAAATAGTTTAAACAGTTTATCCCACCTGGAATGTCATCCTCTCTTCTCTGCCTGTTTATATCCTGCACATCTTTCAGGACCACCTTGTGACCCATTTCTTACTTTGGTCTTTCTTAATTCATCTATGACGCATTCATTCCTGATAGCTGTAATCTTACACTTCTCTCCATAATTTAAGTTTTCCGTTTTACTGGCTTATTTAGTACTTGTGTATATATGTACTTTGACTCCCATAACAAGGTTTTTGGCTCCCCATGGGTAGAGTCCTTACCTGTTACCTTTGTGCTTCCTTCTGCCATTGCACCGAGTGAGTGGTTATTCTAAAATAAAGGCATAATCCTTCCACCTTGCTCTAAAAAATCTTTCTGTGGCTAATGCAGAAGTCCAGGACCCAGCCCGGACTGGTCTTTCCTTCTTGTCTAGGCACTCAGGGTTTGTTCTTGCTAACAGTCCTATACTTCTCAAATAGGTTGATTCTTGGAGGCCCACACCTCTGTGTATTGCTTTCTCTGCTTAGAATGCAAGCCCCATGCCTACCTGTTTCTGTCACTCTCCTCTCCTGATCTGGTGAGGTCTGTTCATCTTTCAAAATGAATTACAGTAACTAAATATTTAACACAGACCATATAATGATCCTGGCAAAAATTGATGAGGGACTGAACTAAGGCACTTACGGTGAGCTACAGATCTCATATAAGTTTGTATTTAGGAGATAGGGTTCACAAACTCTGCTACTTCTTCGTGTAGAGGAAATACTAAGTGAAGCAGTTGAAAATGTGAAGAAGTTTACAATTGATTGGAGCTTACTAGGGGCTACAATAGAGTCAATTAGTATATAATTGTTTCAGAAAAGGTATCTGTAAGTATTTACCATATGCAGGCATAGGTTAGGCACTTTACATTCACTGTTTCATTTATTCCTCACAATAGCCTTATAGTAAGTACTGTTTTTTAACCATTTACAGATGACAAAATTGGGCTTATGATGAAAGTCTTGGAAATACAATCTTGGTACTTCTGTAAATGCCCAAAGTGTGAAAATAATTGGGCCTAGGACCAAAGAGCTGCATAGATTTCTTTGTAATAATTAGAAAATTTATAATCTTATCTATCTGTATAAAATAAGTTAACTTGAATTTGAATGGCTTTAGGTGGCATACACTTAAATTGCCATAAGCCTGACTGTTGCCCATGGTCTTGTACCTACTCAGTTCCTCGCTTATCTTCCTGGCCTCCATATATAATGAATTAGATATCCTTATTCAAGGGTAGAATTCTCCTCCAAAATATGTAAATAAGATTTTGCCTTAAAAAGAAGAGTGAACCACTGACATTTTGTGCAGAGTGTGGTATACATAATGCAGTGTTTTACAAAGAAGATTTGTCAGGGACAGCCATGTAATTGCAGATGCAACCAGGTGTGCATGAGGTGTGAGGTCAGCAGTGAGAGGGGATGGAGAGGCCAACTGGGAGGACTGATGTGACTTGATGACCTGGGAGAAGGAGAGGGGGCTTCCCCCAGTTTTGAAATAAGGAGTTTGTCAAAAATTGTAAAGTCTACATGTAGAGCTTGTTTGGAATAAAGATGAATTTTGTTTTAGCTCTCTAGCCTTTGGCAATCCTTTTTTCCCTCATGTTTTTTCCAGCACGAAAAAGAGGGAGAAGAGGTCCAGTCAAGCATATAAACATTTCTTTTCTATCTCAGTCTTAAACATACGGATCTTATTGCTTCATGAAATGGTCTGTTGGGAATTGTATGATTTTTTTGTGAGCTGTGATTTTGAATCTTGTTTCAGTAGGGACACATTAATAAAAGTTAACTTCTTAAGAAGTTCTTTAGTCTGGTCCTGTTAGGGGAAGACAAAGACTGATTCTCAAAAATCTATTAGTGGGGAAGACTGCATTATACAAACAGTTGTGAACATTTCTGGGAACTGGCTTTGAGTATCCCAGACAGTGTGATCTGAATTTGAAAAAAATCAAGAGACTTCTAGTCTTGAGCCAAAATCATACAAGTGAAAAAAAAGCAAGCAGTTGCTCAGGATTGTGGGTTAACTCTAGGTTTAAACCAGGAGGTGATGCAGTAAATGAGCATAAGTGAGTATACAACGTTATGGGAAGACTGGGCCATACCCTGCAGAGCACAGCTTGCAGGTGAGCCAGGTTCTGGCACCACCCCTCCCAGACTTGGGAGTTCCAGCAGGTCCACACGGGACCTGGTTTAGGCTTACATGGCAAAGCCTGGCCCTGCTACGCAAGGTCAGCACTGCATGGTGGCAAATGACCACAGCACGGCAGTTGTCAGGGGGGAAAAGGGAGTAAACACTCCCACTGGAATCTTAGACCCTATTTAAAGGAAGGTGTGACTTTTGAGTTCTCCATGCCCCTGGGCTATGGCAGGAACAGCCACTTTAACCCATTCCTGTGCTGATACTGTGTTGTTACCTGTCCATTTATGGTTTTGTAAGAAGAAACTAAATTTGGAATGTTTTCAGTGCCTTTTTAAATACAGTAAATTTAACCCCCCCCCTTTTTTTACATACAGTAAGCTATAATTTTGAAAGGAAATGTTTTGAAATTTAGGAATCCCAATGATCATTTTAATTAGTAATAGATTTATATTTTCTAGTACCTTCAGTATATTGAGAATCTATGGATCAGAGTGTATTTGGAATTATGAAAGCGAATTTTAAGAAAATTAGTCACTGGGGCACCTGGGTGGCTCAGTCGGTTAAGCGGCTGCCTTCGGCTCAGGTCATGATCCCAGGGTCCTGGGATCAAGCCCCACGTCGGGCTCCCTGCTCGGTGGAGTCTGCTTCTCCCTCTCCCTCTGCCTGCCTCTCTGCCTACTTGTGCTCTCTCTCTATCTCTCTGTCAAATAAATAAATAAAACCTTTAACAAAAAAAAAAAAGAAAATTAGTCACTAAAAGTAGGTAATTTGAAATTTTTAAAAGAATTTCTGCACTGTATTTTATCAGTGTTCTACCTCATATAACAAGTCTGGGACTTAGGAGTCTTAATTTTTGCTAAAAAAGGGGAAAGTTTATTTTTAAAAAAGGAAAGTTAATTTTGAAAACTTGTACTGAAATGAAAGCAGGATGCTGTAATAATAATCTTTAGCTTTTAACCATTAAAATTTTCATGGTGTTTTGCTTTTGTTTTTGTTTTTGTTTTTCTAATGTTGCTTGTATGGCTTCTCCCTCCAAAAACATCCTACAATGAAACTGAGAAATTGTGCAGAGATATGTTAGAGGGTTACTGCTTCGGTTTACAAAAATGAAGACTAGAAGGCACCAAAGTGCTCCTTGGGGCAAAAGGCAGCTGGGAAAAGCTTAGGAACATTTTCATAATGAGTTAGTCAGAAATAAAGCTCATCAGGAATATCCAGGAAGTGACAGTGAATGCCAGGCAGGCTTTAAGAGACAGGAAGCATTTAGCATATTGGTAAACCATTTTAGCACATCAGCAAAGTCATATAAACAGTTTTAGGATTGGAAATTATTACCACGGGGAAAAGCAGCAATTAGAAGAGCAATTTCAATTAAAAATGTAAAGATTGTGTCTTTAAATTAATTCTTGAGTTGCTCCTCTGAGCCTGTGTAGCAAAATCTACAAGATAACTCATCTGATGAGAAAAATTATATCTAAAAATGTTGGGCATTCTTAAAAAGGAAACCATTAAAGAATGTAAAATTATACTGGTAGGATTTTTTTTTAAATAGGAAGAAAAAGGGCGCCTGGGTGGCTCAGTCGTTTAGCGTCTGCCTTCGGTTCAGGTGGTGGTCCCAGGGTCCTGGGATCGAGTCCCACATCAGGCTCCCTGCTCAGCAGGGGGGGCCTGCTTCTCCCTCTCCCACTGCCCCTGCTCGTGTTCCCTGTCTCGCTGTCTCTCTCTCTGTCAAAAAATAAATAAAAATATTTATAAAATAAATAAATAGGAAAAACAAAAGGAACACTCATCATGACGTAGGGATTAAAATATTGGCAACATGTATGGTGTAGGTCGGTGGCTAAGAGCCCAGACTGCTGCTTTAAATTCAGGCTCTGCTAGTGTCTCAAAGTGTCACCTTGGGTAAATTACTTAACTTCTGGCCTCTGTTATCTGGAAAAGGAGTTTTATTAGGATTGTTGTATGGGTTAATACTTAAAAAGCTTAGGACAGTCCTGCAAAATAATGTTCTAGAAATGTTAGCTATTATTAAATAAATTCCAAATTCTCCTGAAGAACTCCAAACTTGTGTGATTATCAAAAACCAAATAAAAAATCATGGTACAGAAGTCCATAAGGATTAAAAGCATTAACACAAAACACATATTCTTCCTGAAGTAGTGTTTTCAAAGAAAAGAAATTAGAACTAACTTTTCCCTTGATTTTCACTTTTTAGAGTGGTGAAACCAGAACAATATCTCACTTTCATTATACTACCTGGCCAGATTTTGGAGTCCCTGAATCACCAGCTTCATTTCTCAATTTCTTATTTAAAGTGAGAGAGTCTGGTTCCTTGAATCCTGAACATGGGCCTGCAGTGATCCACTGTAGTGCAGGCATTGGGCGGTCAGGCACCTTTTCTCTAGTAGATACCTGTCTTGTTCTGGTAAGTGCTTCTTATGATCTAATTTTAGTCTTGTTTAATTTTTTATTGTTTTCCCCTGGCAGAAGTAAGCTCTAATGTCTGTATCCCAGAACTGTGATTTTCAAACTTAAACTTCTGCCTTCTTCAGAAAAACCTAAAAAATTTCACTTAACTGCCTCTTGTTTGTGAGTGGTGGGGCTCTGTCCAAGATGATTCTAGACGTCTCCAAGAAGAATTTTTTTCCCCCTGGTAGCTTTATTTTACAGAAATAATAGGTCTTCCCCCTTCCTTGTTTTTCAAATATAAATTGATATATAATATTGAATTCCTTCCAACTCAAACAAGCACTACATTTCTCTTGCCCTGAGTTTCCTTATTTACAAACTAAGGATAATGATACTATTTTCCTCACAAGAATTAAGTGAATTAATACATTCAGAACACTTAGAAGAGTCCCTGGTATTTTCTAAGCACTCAGTAAATACTACTATTATTATTCCCCTGAGATTCCGATCTCTGCCCCCAAGGGCTGTATTCTTTCTTTACCAACCCATTTCCAGCCCCAGCCTGGATATAGGCCTGTGCCTTTTCTTTTTAGAATGTTCATTTTTCCTTAGTTGGGGCATAGGGCATCTCTAGAGTATAGGAATGGTTGAGTCTTAATATACCAACTGTATTACCAAATTTACTACTCTGCCTCTAAGTAATATACTTCAGTCAAAAACTGGATTGTTACAGGGCACCTGGATGGCTTAGTCGGTAGAGCATGCAACTCTTGATCTTGGAGTCATGAGTTGAAACCCCATGTCAGGCATAGAGCATACTTAATTTAAAATTAAAATTAAAAGAAAACTGAGTTGGGGCACCCGAGTGGCTCAGTCAGTTAGGCGACTGACTCTTGGTTTTGGCTCATGTCATGATCTTGGTTGTGCGCTCAGTGCAGAGTCTGCTTGAGATTCTCTCCCTCTCCTTCTGCCCCTTCTGCCCCACACTCACTCACTCTCTCTCTCTCAAATAAATAAAATCTTAAAACTGATTGTTACATTAAAGTGAACTTTGACATGTTTAAAAAAAATTCTGTCTATTCCCTTAATGGTGAATGACTATTAAAAACTGGGTTGTGTGTTTGTGCCTATTCCCTGCCAGACATAACTTCCACTTTTTTCTTTTTCAGTTGGGGTGAGGGTTGTGCTGGTTATAATACAAGATCGATAGTCCGGAGCTGGTGCAGTGACTTAACAGTGTCATTGTGAATCTAGGCTCTTACCATTTTTCTTCTCCACCATCTTTAAAGATGGCTGCTGGACACAGACATGAAGGCAGAAGGGCACTGGGCAAGTTTACTTCTGTCAAGACCTTTTAAAAAAAAGCAGAACACTAATGTCAGTGGATTTATCTTTACATTAAGCCAGAACTGGTCATAAATTCTTCCTTAGACAATACTGGCCAAAGTAAATAAGATTACTGTGATTGGTTTGGAATCAGTTGTATATCAGCTAAAGGCCTCCATCTACTGCTTGAACAGTTGAGGTGTGCCGAAGGTGGTGGATTGGGGTAGATGTTTTGTACAGAAAGAGTTAACAGCCATGGTCACTTCTTGTTCTTGAGGGAGACACACTGCACATTGCAAAATGCTTAGCAGCTAGCTATCCTATATTGCTTCTCTTTCCTGGACTCTAACAACAAAAGGCTTGAATAATTTTTACCTTTCTTGCAGATGGAAAAAGGAGATGATATTAACATTAAACAGCTGTTACTGAATATGAGGAAATATCGAATGGGACTTATTCAGACACCAGATCAACTCAGATTTTCATATATGACTATAATAGAAGGAGGAAAATTTATAAAGGGAGATTCAAATATACAGGTAAACTTTTTTAGGGAAATAATACCTGTGTATTATATATGATTAGCATCAAATAACTGTTGCACTCCATTGAAGCACTTGTTTTCTCCCTTCCTTCCAAAAAGCATATTGACATTCATGTGGAAAACCCAGCTGGCCATCTTAAAATTCTGAAGTTTAAGCTCACGTCCTCATATATACCTCAGCCTCATGTTAAATCTTGCCTGTTACTCAAAAGCCCTAGTGGGAACAAGATTTTATTAAAGAAAGTGGAATTTTCATATAAGGAGGTTAGTTTAAGCATTTAAGCATTAAAATAAACCAAAGAATTTTGGTAATTTTAGCACATTAAAAACTTGACCTGCAATTATGGAATACTTAGTTTATGTAATAGATGCTTAATTTTGTTAACAGTGAGCAACTTGAGTATTTATGGCAGACATATGAAATTCCAGTAGAAAGTTCTGTTCTCTGGTTTCTGGCTATGCTCTCATGAAGACATTTTTGTTCCACATTTGCAAAAACTAAGTTCAAAGACTGATTATCAGAAATCTGTGTTATATACTAACAGACCCCTATTTCTTGTCTGATCTTCTCACATAGTATTGGACATAAGTAGATCAAAACTCTTTATGTTTCTCTTATGAACACATATACTGGCTCTTTAATTTCTGTGATTACGAGGCAAGTCAGAAATACACTGAATAAGCCTTCTTTTATAACTCAGACCATCTGTGATAATGGAATTAAATACAAGTTACACTTTCAAAGACATTAAAATACTCTTAAGCAATTCTGTTTCTCAGCTAACTGTTGTTCTGATCTTTAGTATTATTGTAACTATTTAAGACAAACTATTATCAGTAAAATTTAAAGTCTTATGATCTTGCCATTTGCAACAAGATGGATGGAGCTAGAGAGTATAATGCTAAGCGAAATAAGTCAGTCAGAGAAAGACAAATGCCATATGACTTCATTCATATGTGGAATTTAAGAAACAAAACAAATAAAGCAAAGGGGGAAAAAATAGAAAGGCAAACCAAGAAACAGAATAAATCTTTAATGAAGAGAAACATTGCATCACTCCATAAAATACTCAGTATTTCGATTAGGCCCACAAAACATGAGACCCTTCTTCAGAAGTCAGATTTTGGTAACACTGGGTTTGCTTGGCAGTGAACCAGTGATTCAGAAGAAGTAAAAGTTATTTCAAATGTTTAAGATTAGGAAAAGGTCTCTCTCTCTCTCTCTCTTTTTAATCTCTGAACTTCTCTCCAGTTTGGAGTTGAAAAACTCCAATCTGGAGTTGGAAAAAAGTTAAATAGTTAAACCAAACTTTTTTCACACACTTGTGGCTTCCCTAGTTGTTTATTGCTTATTTCCCGGATGTTCTTACGGACTAATTGTAGAGAAAGTGTGCTGTCCTTTGGATAGTATCCCTCCCTCCACTTTAAAATTTTTTCAAGTTTCCCTAGTTTCAGAATATATACTCATTTACTTTGAGGATCTTTTTCACTACAGAGATGAATTTTATGAACATACTTTTTTGTGGTCTTTATTATTATTATAGCAGTATAGTTTGTGGCTTGGGAGAGTTTTTTTCTGTCTCCGTTTATCTGGTAGGTTATAGCCATCAGAGTTTCCATGTAGCTTCATCCAGCACTCCATGCAAACCCAAGGCATTCTCTCTCCCTTCGTCAGGTAGGATGTTGGAAATGTCTCTGTGTTTTTCGGGTACTCCGGATCAGAAAAGCCTGTTACCCATTTGGAGGGGTCAGTTTCCACAGAAATGGTCTAAGGGTTCCTATAATATATGTGGTGCTGTACTTTTTTTTTATTATAAAGATAATTAATGAGTAAATATATGGATTTGTTTATTTTACATAAGTAGTTTTCTCTGCCTGGAACTTTGCTATCCAATACTGTAGCCATTAACCATACATGTAATTGAGTAATTGAAATTAGGCTATTCTGGGGCGCCTGGGTAGTTGGTTAAGCGACTGCCTTTGGCTCAGGTCATGATCCTGGAGTCCTGGAATCGAGTCCCGCATCGGGCTCCCTGCTCAGCGAGGAGCCTGCTTCTCCCTCTGACCCTCTCCCCTCTCATGTACTCTCTCTCATTCTCGCTCTCTCAAATAAATAAATAAATCTTTAAAAAAAAAAAAAAGAAATTAGGCTATTCTGAATCGAGATCTGCTTGAAGTATAAAATACACACCAGATTTCGAAGATTAAATACAGGGAGATAAAGTATAAAATATCTCAATAATTTTTAAAGTATTATATGTTCAAATGACAATATTTTTTATATTGAGTTAAATAAAAGATACTGTTAAAATTCATCTTTTTTTTTTTTTAAGATTTTATTTATTTATTTGAGAGGGAGAGAATGAGAGACAGCACGAGAGGGAAGAGGGCAGAGGGAGAAGCAGACCCCCTGCCGAGCAGGGAGCCCGATGCGGGACTCGATCCCGGGACTCCAGGATCATGACCTGAGCCGAAGGCAGTCGCTTAACCAACTGAGCCACCCAGGCGCCCATCTTTTTTTTTTTTTTAAACACTACTAGACATTTGAAAATTGTATATGTGGCTCCCATTATATGTCACTGGACAGTACTGTTCTAGAACCTTAGCTTAAAATAAAAATCTAAGAGAAGTAAAGTTCTCTGAAATCCTAAATCATAAGATCTAAAGTTAATGTAGAAACCTCAAACTGCATGAATATAACTGACCCATAAAAGTATCTCTTTTGACATACAAGGATAGGATAGCCAATTTATAAAAAGACTCTTCTTTCTCTCCATATGTCTACCTCCTCCTCTTTATCTAGGAATTTTGGGAAAAGTTACTATTTGTAAGAAGAACGAAGGAAGCTTCTTTCTGGTGTGAGCACTGTGGCCAGGGGTGTGGGAGGGTGATATCACGCTTCCTGAACCTGTGTATCTTCAGAGAACTGTCTGGTCAGCAGCACCCGAGCCGTATTTCTTTGTTTCTGGTACTTTTTGCTAAAGGGGACATCTGTCTTCACCTTCAGTCTTAATTTGGATTTATATTATGTGAGTGGTATTTTCATTATTGGATAGTTTTATGTTAATTTTCTGTGAAGATTTTTGAAATACAGAGATATAAAATGATTTAGAACCTGTCAGGATAAAGGAGAGCTGTTAATACATCTAATGTGATTGTTTCTGAAATCAGTAAATACATGTATGTGTTTATAATCATACAGCATGTATTTAGTTTTGGAAATTTCCAATGATCTTGACCTACCTAGATAAATACAGATTATTTCTAGTTGTCTCTGAGAATATATCATTTACCTCACATCTTTCTTGGCACAAGATTGGGCATAAAAAGATGTTATAGTTACTGGTATTATCACTTACAGTACACTCCCAGTACCCACGATGACAGAAAACCTCACAGAGTAACATATCTAGATTGGCAATTCAGAACTGATGTTGTAAGATCTCTACCTGGTAATTTGACACTACTAATAAAGTAATTACAGTGGGTTTCAAGTTTAATGACATCACTGAAAGTGCTCCTTCGAGGGACTTTCTTCAGTGAGAACTGGATGAGGTTGCCCGTGGTGTGCAGGGCATGGCTCGTAGCAGCGTGTGACATGTGGAGTGTGGTTCAGCATGAGTGTAGATTTAGGAAGATAAACTCTCAGTCCAGATGGCTGTACTCCAGGCCTCCAGATGAGAGCTTGAATGAAGTTGTAGCTGAGTGTGGTATTGATTCCTTGGCTTCCCCAGTCAGCAGTGACAAGCCAAGGCAGGTGACTTTGCCTGTTTACTTGCAGGTTACAGGGAAGGCAAAGTTGAGTGAGTTTGCTGCCCAGAGACGTGGCAAAATGACACTGCCTTTTTTTTTTTTTTTTTTAATTCACTAGCATTAAATATCTCCTTTTCTCCACTCCCTTACCCCTTTTGCTGAGTCCTTTTCTTGTTGACAGATTCCGAATTTGTTGCATATTCTGGGAAGTGGTCCAGTAAGATGTGATTTTTGTCATTGTCTTTTGTTTATTGACATTGTTGAGTTTTGTCCAAGTATAAGGCCAAGTTGTTATAACTAGGTCCCCAGGGAAGAATCAAAATTAAAAAAAAAAATCAAACCTAAATTCTGGAGACAATTTAACAGTTTTTATTGGGTACTTTCTTAAACTGTCTGGTATCTGAAGCTGATGAACTTTTCAGAGATACAAATAATCATGAGGGATTATAGCATTAAAATTTTGGCCCTTTTGTTAATTAGCTGCATAGCCTGGGCAAGTTGCTTCTGTTCTGTTGAAGGGGGATGATGATGATAACAGTAGTAGCACCTACTTCCTGAGGTTCTTCTGAGGATTAAGAGCTGGTGCAGCTGAAGCATTAGGTCAGTGTGGGTATAGTAAGTACTTGAGAAGTTTCCCCACGTACATCTTCAATGTACAAAACGCTGTCTGGACTGAGTAACAAAAATGTTGAACGGGAAGAAAGAAAACTGATGTAGTCCTCTAAAGTGAAAACATCTTACTCTTATGTTCCATTATAGCATTTTCTCAGGTATTGACAAAATACTCTTTCTGGATATGGTTTGCATCCTCTTAGGTCCTTGCCCAGGAGAAGTGGGTTCCATCGATTGTTTCTTAAAATAAGTTCAGAGACTTCTTTCCTTGAGGTCCACTTCCTTTCTGGCTTCATCTCTCAGAGTCAAGCTCTACATGTTCTTCATCTTCTAGTCAGATTGATCAAACTGTCCTACTCACTGTCCTCCAAATGTAGCAAATTACAGAATTTTGCATTCTCTAAATTTTTTGTGAATCAAGTACTATAAAAAATGCATTAATTACGCATCTTAGTAAAATAGCTATATATGGGAAAGGAGGAATGTGGTAAAATACCTTTTTCTTTTTTAATTCCTCTGTTGTAGGATAATGAAATAAGTTAGAAACTAATTTATCAGTGTATCAATGAATTTTCCAAAGTTTTTTTTTTTTTTAATAATATACAAGCGTTGTTTTTAACAATGCCATTTTGTACCAAAGCAACTCCAGGGAAAGAGTGTTTCATTAAGTTCCAGACAAGTGTAAATTGCAGGGTTACATTTGTGTTCAAAATCATTACAATCCTCAGGCAATAAGTTATAGAGTCTCTTATTCATTAGGTTCTAGACTCCTTGCTTCTGTGGTAAGATCTTCAAAGAGGGTAACCCCTGTCCATACCAGGTCATTTTGCACCAGTGTGGATAATCAAAACCATTGGCTCTCACTGCCACCTTTCCTACTCTTGTTATTGGCTGGGAGATGGATGGTTGTGTTTGCAGCCCTTGAAGAATTGAGGAGCTAGAGGTCACTCATGTTGAGGTTATACTTGCCTTCTCCCTCTCTGGCTAGCACTTTGTCACTGCCTTCATCTTCCAGGGGCTCAGATACACTTTGCACTTCTTCCTCTCTCCCTAGGGATGGTGGCAGTAAGGGCAAAGGAATCTAACATTTGCCAGATATGATGCTAGGCTTGTTATGTCATTAATCACAATAGGCTCTCAAGGTAGGTGATGACAGCCTGTTTCCTAGAGGAAGCAAATGGAATTTCTCTTCGTCTTGGCCTAAATCCTGCCTCCTGAAGTCTAGGCGTGCTAGCAGAGTATTTTCTAACCTGGTGGTGGGCTAGCTTACCTGGAGCTGCTAGCATAGCTGGTAGGAAAAAAACAAAGTAAGGTCCTCTGGCATCAGAGAGACCTGCCTGGAGATCTCACTGTTGTCCCTCTGTTAGACCAGTCTGGTCTAAAATTCAAGTGCCATCTTGGTCACTGTTTCCAGTGTTAACGTACCTGTGGGTTAGGAGTCCAGCAGAATCTGGCTCTGGCTAAAATCTCATTTACTATGACTAATATTTTGGTGAGGTCCTAATAAACTTTGTCTCAATAGGTTAAAGTCCACTTTAATTTCATTAAGATTATTGTATTCAACTGCCTAGAGATGTACATACATATTAAATACTTTGTTTTTAAATTTTAAGCTTAATCTTAACTACTGTTCTACAAATACCTTTTTTTTTTTTTAAAGATTTTATTTATTTATTTGAGAGAGAGAATGAGATAGAGAGCATGAGAGGGGGGAGGGTCAGAGAGAGAGGCAGACTCCCCGCTGAGCAGGGAGCCCGACGCAGGACTCGATCCCGGGACTCCAGGATCATGACCTGAGCCGAAGGCAGTCGCTTAACCAACTGAGCCACCTAGGCGCCCTCTACAAATACCTTTTTAAAAATGGAACCATGGGGCACCTGGGCGGCTCAAGTCAGTTAAGCAAGTGTGCCTTTGGCTTAGGTCATGATCCCAGGGTCCTGGGATCTGCCTGCTAAGGGCTCCCTGCTCCGCGGGAAGCCTGCTTCTCCCTCTCCCCTGCCTGCCACTCCCCCTGCTTAGGTGCACGTGCGCATTCTCTCTCTCTCTCTCTGTCAAATAAATAAAATCTTAAAAATAAAATAAATTTTAAGCTTAAAATAGGCACATCTAGAAGAGGTTTTTGTAAAATACCTTTTTCATTCTTCTGTTAGCATCACAGGGTTCTCTTAAAGTTGAATATATAATTTCAATTTGTATGTCCTTTTTATTTAAAGAAAAGTAAAATTTTAGTGTTTGCATTTGTTTTTCACTTCTCTTCCCTACTTAGAAACAGTGGAAAGAACTTTCTAAGGAAGACTTATGCCCTGCTTTTGATCATTCACCAACCAAAATAATGACTGAAAAATACAATGGTAATAGGATAGGCCTAGAAGAAGAAAAACTGACAGGTGACAGATATACAGGACTATCCTCTAAAATGCAGGATACTACGGAAGAGAACAGCGAAAGGTAAGCTTATGGCAATTACATGCTTGAAAAGATGAGACTTTTTTATTTTAATAAGTTCAGTGGATATGAACTAATATAGGCCCTTTGTTTATTGAATTAATGTAGCTATTCATTTATTATCTAAGGGTATTGAAGTATTATATGATGACATCATTGATCTCAAAGAGCTTTCAGCCCTATTAAGAAGCCAGTACTTATAGATAGAAACCAGTTGGAAAATGGTTTAACTCAATACTAATTTGAGTGGTAAAGTTAATATAATTAGATGCTAAAACATATAATACGATACAGAAAATAAGTGGTATGAATACCTGCCATTTGTACAAGTATTAGTGTTCATGGTATAGTAATATAATGGATAATGTGCCTTTAATGAAATTATAAAATATTTAAATGAATATTTAAATTTGATTACATTATTAGAAGGGAAGAAGTCTTTTTAAAAAAAAAATTACACAAAATACGTTTTATACTTCAAGTTTTGAATCTATATGAAAGTATAAACGTTTTAAGTTTTTAAATTAAAACATTTACATTTCTAAGGCTCTAGTTATCTCCCATCCATTAGGAAGTTGGTATCCTGAGGTGTGAGTGAATGAGCCTGTTCAAGTCCCCTCTTCACACGTCTCAGTGATGTTTTCTCTCTTTTTGTCAAATACGCTTTTTATTTAAATGGCACATTTTATGTTTTAGTCCTATTTGTTACACTGGGATGTTGGGGCACCAAGAAAATCATTGAGGTCTCCTATATATTATAGTAACTTCACTTCTGTATTTCCCCAATATAAAAATTGCCTGGGTGGCTCAGTCGGTTGAGCATTTGCCTTTGGCTCAGGTCATGATCCCGGGGTCCTGGGATCAAGCCCCGCATGAGGCTCCCTGCTCAGCGGGGAGCCTGCTTCTACCCCTGCTTGTGTGCTCTCTCTCTCTCTCTCACTCTCTGACAAATAAATAAAATCTTAAAAAAAAAAAAAAAAGAAAGGTAACACTGCAATAAATACATAGTTTATGTGTTACTAGGTATTTATACTGAAGAGTTTATTATGACTTAGCAGTGTTACTCCTTATTTATGGCTCTAGGGGTTTGAGACTACAAGTTAAAGCATTAATTTGCTTATTCCTTCTTTCACCTTAAATATAATACTTTGAAATCAAGAAATCATGTTTTAAATTACCTTATCTTTTTCAGTAATAAGATTCTCAGGTTCCTAATGTTCTTGTAGTTTTGGCTACTACCATGTGCATAATTAAATGGAAAATAGGCTTGATTATTGAATTGGTGTCCTTAGTATTTCAGAGGTGTTGAGTTTTAATCTTTAAGGACACAGACCCAACAAGGTAAACCACTCATTGTCCAAATTTCAGTTTCAAGGAGATGAGGAAAACTGCTCAAGTTACAGAGTGTGATTGCAGAGGTGGTTTTATTGGGGCCCCCCAGCCCACCCCCAAGGAGAGAGGAGACCAGATCATGCTTGAAAGCGGAGGCAAAGCCCCAATAGGAAAGTAAGGATTGTAAGCAGAGAGAACTAATTGAGGGAGCAGGTTGTAGAAAAGTAAAAGAGCATAAAATAAAGATTGCTGTGTGAAAAAGTATATTTTTCAGTCCTAATTTTAATACTGATCAATAGCTTTGCGTTAGGGAGGCTAATAAAATAAATCAAAATTTTATTGAAAGAATTTCAGCTTCAAGTGAGTAGGACACAATACTTTATTTTCTTTCATTATTAAATATCCTTCAAGTCAGTTTTTTCATATTGGTCACATTCTCATAGTCATGAAATCAATTTAGTAAGTTATAAAAAAAAAAGCATTTTAAAAATAATAGAGTACAATAAAATTGAAATTAGAGTTTAGAGAAAAAATAGATCAGAGTATCACAGATAATAACTATTTTAAGATTTTTATATATGTATACATAATATATAAATTCTGTGTATTGACATATACTTTGTGTACATGTACAAACGTGTCTGTGTGTGCAGTTACTTTGTTGTAATGGTAAGACATTTCTTGCTGTTAAGGTTTACCATCAAAGTTTAAAAGCCAGTGTTCTCAATTGTAGTGCAATCCTTAAACCCAGATCCCTGAGTGGAGAACAGTTTGGATAAATGAGAAGTCAGGTCGTTTGGCTCCTCCTCCTGTGTGTTTGCATAGTGTGAGGTATGCCTGTTGAAACGTGTATTGGCTGTAGCCTGCTGTGTGTGCCACGGGGAGGACTTCCATATGGTCTTCCATAGGCAAGGGTCCACAGGAGTCCTTCCCTGCCTATTTGTGGCTTTTGATTACATGGACATAATTTCCTTAGGCCCAGCTAGGTAAAAAAAGATTTTATTGTATCACAAATTGAGAATAGTTTTTATTTCCTTGGAATTGCATTCTTAAACTAAGTAATGACATCTCTTGGTACTTGTTTTCTTTCCATTCCTGAAAACATCTGTACAGTACATTTTTGGAAAGCAAGAACCTCTATTCCCTGCATGATTTTATTTATTTTTTATTTTTTTTCCATTAATGATTTTAAATGGGAAAAATTGTGTTCTCAGCCCAACTAAAACCATAACCAGTTTCTCTAAATATAAAAATCCTCTTTAAAAAATCCTCTTAAACTGCTATGTAATAGTTAAAGCACTAATTACATAATCACATAACACTCAGTATACTCATATTGGGTTTACATGGTAAATATCTACACTGAATAAAAATTGTAATTATCTTCTATATTGCAGTGAAAATTTTAAATGAAATAATCTGTTAAAGGTTGTTTGATGGCTTCAGGCTCCTGACAGAAGCAAATACAAGGACCCGTGGAAGGCTGGGCCCCTGGATGGGAGCTCTGTATTCTTTCATGTATTTTATATATGCTTTACCTGCACTTGAATACAACTTAAATTTTTTTCACTGATGGGTACACATGTATTTGTTAATAGTGATTTTTAAATTCAAAAAGTGAATTCTGAGTAATAATTTTTGCAAGTCATTATAGCAAATATTCAGAGAATTCAGAGAGTCAAAGATACCTGGGTATATCATAGGGCACACAGAGATAGGCACACAGAGATAGGCAAAATCATAGGGCACACAGAGATAGGCAAAATAAAGTCCCTGAGTTGCGAATATATTTAGGGGGTAAAATAAGAACCCAAATTAGCAACATAAATTATTTACTGTAAGTTAAATGCTATAAGGTAAGAACAGAGGGGCTCTAGGGGTTGAGTAGAGGGAGAAATTGAAGAACAATTGAAATGAGAGGACCAGAGAGATTTCTAGTTTAGAGGGGAACAAATTTGGAGAATAGCAAAAAACCATTTGGGCAAGAACAAAGTTGTGCACAGTAGGCGAACACTGGATAGTTTTTGTGTGAACATGTGTTTTCAGTTCTCTTGAGTATATACCTAGGAGTGCAGTTGCTGGGACGTAAGGGAACCCTGATTTCATATTTTGAGGACCTGCCAGTTTCACATAGCGGCTGCATTGTTGTATATTCCCACCAGCAGTGTCTGAAGGTTCCAGTAGTCCAAAGAAGTTGAACATTGATAAAATTACCTAATATATAGTTTGTATTCGAATTTCTTTGGTTGTATAACAAGTCTACCTTATAGCTTTTTAAAAAAATAACTTTGAGATATAATTTATGTACTATAAGGTTCATACATTGAAAGCATACACTCCAGTGGATTTAGTATATTTACAGAGTTGTGAAGCCATCACCATAATCTAATTTCAGAATATTTTCATGATCCCAATCTCTTTAGTTATTTAAAGAAATAATCCAAGGTCTAATCAAGGATCATGCATCATATTTAGTTGATGTGATTCTTTAGTCTCCGTTAATCTGAAATTGTTCACCACTTTCTTTTTTTTCCTTGCCTTGACCTTGACATTTTTGCAGCTGCTATACCAGTTGCCTTTCCTCTGATGGTTTCTCATTACTAGATTCAGGTTAAACATTTTGGCTGGCAGAAAAGTTGGCTCTTAATGTGTAGTATACTGAAAAGGCATTCAAGATTTTTGATCAAGCTACAAAACCAGAGAACTATACTTTAGAAAAATTGCTATGGTGATAATGTTTAATTCAGAGGCAAAAGTTAGGTTTTTGCTGTAATACAGGCAATAAGTGAAAAGAGTAGATGGATTTTGTGAAATTTTTTTAAAGAGAAGAAATAGTAGTGTACATGTCATCATCACTGGCCATTCTTCTTTACAGTGTCCTAGGACCATGCGTCTTGGGAGTCGGAGAGCTTCCACTGGCACAAACATTCTGTATTGAATAGGAAAATGGAAGCTAGAAATAAGTGTGGACAAACAGAGCACTAGGCATCCCACAATAGAATCTTTATGGAAGTATTAAGTAGATAGCTTTTACCAGTGGCCTTTGTGAAAAATCATGTGTAAACACTAAAGGGGCTCGGACGCCAGGGACTCGTGTCTCCCACCTCTTCCAGCTGGTTAGCAAGAAAGAAAGCTGACAGCCACCAGCTCCCATTTCAACAAAGAAAGCACCATGCTTATTTTCAGGTCCTGCTAAAAGTATTTATTAATAGAATATTGTACCAGAAATTGTTGCTGAATTATCAGAGTACATCTCTAGACCACTTAGAATATTGAAAGTCCCCCTCTTTTTTTATTCCAGTGTTTTAATGAGTTTAAAAATATGGGGCTTGGGGAGTGGGTATTTGGGCTTTGGTCCTCTGTATTAGAGTAATAAGTCCTGCCATGCACTTTCTTTTATTTGTTTTTATTTTTTCCTAGCGTTCTACGGAAACGAATTAGAGAGGACAGAAAAGCTAACACAGCTCAGAAGGTGCAGCAGATGAAACAGAGGCTAAATGAGACTGAACGAAAAAGGAAAAGGTGGTTATATTGGCAACCTATTCTCACTAAGATGGGGTTTGTGTCATTCATTTTGGTGGGTGCTTTTGTTGGCTGGACACTGTTGTTTCAGCAGAATGTCCTATAAATAAACAGTTCTGCCCAACAAGCTGCTGGTCTAGTAGCTGACAGTGTTGCGTTAGTCACAGGGTTTGTCTGTTAGCAAATTCCTCGCACCCCAGGAAGTGTGGTAGAATAGACACCAACCAGATAAGTGATATATTCAGTCCCCAGCCCAACATCTCAGGGCACTGTCCCCAAACTGTAAACAGCTATCTGAAATAAAAACTTGAATGCTTGTTGAAAACTGGTACATTTTGCAACTGTGTTCGTACATGTTAAGCATACTGTTTCACCTGACCAGATTGAGAAGTCCTTTACCATAAGGATTGGTTTTTGGAGGCCAGCTGGATTTTAACCTGCACTTGATACAGCAATAAATACTGTGGTTTTATCTACATTATTACTGGAAAGAAAATGACCTTTAAATAATGCGTGTAATGTATAATGTACTGTTGACATGGGCGTTGACATTTTATATTCTTAGCCATTTCAGGGTAAATATATTTTATAAGTATCTATTTAATCTTACTTTTGTAGTTAAATGTACTTTTTAAAAACTCAATTTGAAAAATCTGTTACCATAAAAAAATAAATTGTGTGTTGATTCAATTGTACTGAATACATTTTCCTAAAGAGAAGTTTGGTACGAGCAGTTAGAACTAACTCTGAATAAGCAGTTTTTACTATATATTTGCATTTCTTTTATGTTTTACAGTTTTCCCAATTTTAAAAAGAAAAAAAACAAAGAAACAAAAATTTTCCCTAAAAATATCTTTGAAGGAAAATTCTCCTTACTGGCATAGTCAGGTAACATTTGGTCAAGACTTTGTGTAAAGAAATTGGTTTCTGTAAAGCCCATGATGAATACTGTTTAATTTTCATGAAAATTTCAATGTAATTACCCTAATTTATAATTGGGGTAAATCATGACTTAGGAAATAAAAATAAGGAGCAGCATTTTATTATCCATGATTTCAGTTTACTAGACTGAAGTTTTGAAGTAAAATTTTTTCAAGTTCTTTCTACTTCAATAAATAGTATGATGATGTACAAACCTGACCTTGTCCCTTTAACTTCTTAATGGGTATTTTTAAAACATATTGTTTGATGAACTTAATTTCTCATTTGAGTGCAGTTCTTCTTCAGATCCCAACATTCCATTCAGTGTTTGACTTATTCAACTTAAACTTTAAGTAGTTGTTATAAATTTAATTGCTGATAGAATAAAATCACCTTATTTCAGTGGTTTTCAGGCTATGCTCATTGGATTTCTGAGGGATCTCTGAGAGGTGGTTGGAAGGACTCCAAGCTACCAGTCTTTACTTTCAACCAGACCATCTCTGCTTTATCTACTTTATATACTACGTATGATCTGTGTATGAGGCGTAATTATTTGAAGGGGACAGTTACAATTTTTAAGAACAGTTTGAAAACCATTTGTATAGATAGGTATTTTGAATTGATTTGAATAGCCTTCTTGAATGTGTTAAATTATGCGGAAAGTCTGAAAGGATGTAGGTGGTACTACGTATTAAATCAGATTTGCGTAACTTGTGCCTGTGTCCTAATTCGGTATTACTGTGTCCTGTAACCTTTAAGTGGAGAGGAGATAAGAGGGACTTTTTTTTCCCCTCCCAATGTCTGTCTGCATTAAACCTGTGTTCAGGTACTAGGACCCGTCTTAATTGGTTTCAAACCTTTCTAATTTGCTTTGGTTTATATTTGCTAAAACACAGTATATTACTCTGCAAGTCAAATATGGATAGATCATACTAAATTTCCAATTGAAGATAGCCTTGCCTTAAACAAAAAGGTAAAGACTTCTTACAGGAAACAAATGCTGGTTAATGATGCACATTGCCCCTTTGCAGGGTGAATGTGCTTCACTGGATTCTAGATTTTAGCTTTGCTTTTTGTCTGCTTTCTGTCCTTCAAGTGGTGTTTGTTGTAATATATCTTAACAGTTACATTCAGTAAAGTAAGCATTTGTTGATAAACTTCTGCAAGGGTTACTCATCTTTCCTCCTTTCAAACAGATCCTGAAGGATAGTGTGTTAAGTTTTTACCAGTAATAGTATTTTTGGTGGGTTCCATATTACTAATTATTATTATTATTTTTTAAGATTTTATTTATTTATTTGATACAGAGAGAATGAGAGACAGAGAGCATGAGAGGGAGGAGGGTCAGAGGGAGAAGCAGACTCCCTGCCGAGCAGGGAGCCCGATGCGGGACTCGATCCTGGGACTCCAGGATCATGACCTGAGCCGAAGGCAGTCGCTTAACCAACTGAGCCACCCAGGCGCCCCCATATTACTAATTATTAAAAATACATGGCAATGTGCTGTGGTGCCCAGGGTCATCATCCTGAGCCTTTATTAAATGAGGTGTGCTAGTCAGAGGGAAGGACACAGACAAGGGCTCCTGCCTTCTCAGGTAACAGCCAGAGGACAGAGTTAGCAATCCACAATAGATTCATTTTACAAAATTTGTGTATCCTTAGGTCTTCCTAATATTTTCTAAACATAACAGATTTTAAAAGTCAGTTGTGTAGTTTGATGTTAATGAGGCAGTATTATTTTTCGAATAGGTTAAGGAAGAAAAGATTTTTTAAAAAGCCAGAGGCTTTATTAAGAAAAGGTATTTATATTAATATATAGTGTATTCGTGTTCATCTCTGTCTCTGCTGATAAACTAACAGCAGTCTTTGATTTAATGCCATCTTCTCTGGCTATACCAGCTGGTTGTGTATTTGTCTCCAAGTTTAGCTAATAAGTATTTTATGCTGGGCTATTAGCAGTTTTTATCTATGCTTGCATATATATAACATGTATAAATGTGATTCTCCATTTTTCAGTTTATCCATATATAAAATAAAAATAATACCTTTTCTTGAATTCTTACAAGTTAAAAAAAAAGTAATGTGTAAAAGTGTATAGAGAATTTTAGAACAATATAAAGACCATTCCTCATGTTTAGGGGTATTTTATATATGTGCTCTGTCCTTTTCCTATTCTATCTTCAAAGTAATACTGACTGTGTATTAATATTTCTACCAAGAAATGAACAAGAGAAAGGAAATAAAGTGTGTGGGTTTTTTTTTAATAGCTCTGCTTAACAGGTATGTCATAAGAAGGAACTGTAACTCTTAATTTTATGTATACTTGTGCTTGTCCCCTTCATTTTAAATAAACTAGAATTGATGGTATGAATCAAAAAAAAATGTATTGGTTTGAAAAGTAGTTCATGATACGGAGCAGTCCTCTACTTTTTATATCAAGTCCTTTGCTTTCAGTGTCAATTCAGAGTGGTGGTTGCTACCATTTATTGATCATTTACTATGTGCCAGGCACTGTGCTAATAAGCATTTTCATAGATTATCCTATTTAATCCTTACAACAAGCTTTTGAGGTAGGTGTTGTTATTATTAAGCCATAATCAGCCTGAGACTGGACATTTCTACATTGTTTTATGCTGCTATCATTGAAAAGTCTCCTGTATGTAATATATTTTAGAATTAGATTATTCTCAAAGAAAGACTTACCCTCTGCAAGTCATTTCCCTCTTAGAAAAATACATCTGACTAGATTCTGTGTAAATAGATACAGGCCAGAACCTGATTATATTAGAAATACTGTCATTAACCTTCGTGTACTCTATTTCAACAAGTACCTGCATCTCCAAAGTGCCTGCCCGGTTATTGTACAGATTTTAAAATCTAGTCTGCCTTAATTTTGACTTTCAGACACAAAATTTACAGAGGTTTTATTTTAATGTAGTCCATTATAAGCCTAATGCCATTATGTATATCATCCACTTCTTCCTGCGTTCAGGCAGAAGTCTAGGAATCACACCTTCTGTCAGCATCAATTTATTTTTTTGTCCAGAGGTGCACGTGGGTTTGTTAGGGGGGTGGAGAGTAAGGAGCAAGGGTGTGAGTCTCCAAATCTGCTGCACCCCAGGAGGGGGGGAAGCTGAGGTCAGACTTGGTGCAGTGATCCTGGCCTGAAACTAAGTGCGTTTGCTCTGTGTTCTTATTTCTATGTCAGTAGCTAATTAAATCTCTCTTACTTTAAGAAACCTTTAATTTGTCCTTGACTTATTTAGAGGATAGGGGCACAAAATCTTACAAATATAATTTGGAAGGTAATATTCTTCCACACGACAAAACTAAGTTCTCCTGACTTAATATGCAGGTCTTGGTCATTCCCTGGATGGTTTATTCTGGAGTTGACGTGTTTCTTTGATCTTTTTCCCTAGTTCATTTGTTTGGATTTGATTCCATTTTTCTCTTACATTTATTTTCAAAGCAGTATTTATAGGACAATATCACCAACAGCCCCTACAAGAGTGAATGACTCTTTTAGAACTTCCAGTTGTCTCTCGTTCCATTGGATATGTTACGTATAAGTGATGACATGCCTTCGTGGGAAGAAACTCGGGTTGTGTAAGCCGCACAGCACCTGCCCTGCCCAGGAATCCCCAGCCCGGATACTGCACACCTGAGGCTGTATTCCATGTACTCACCATAATATAGCCATTTCGTTGTTCATCCAGATTTGACAATGTAACTTAGGAATTTTAAGCTACTCACTTTCTTGGGTAGTGTTTGAAAGAAGACTTCTAGGAAAGTGGTATGAGTTTGGCCATCTCATTTTTCCCTTACCCACAGGAATTTTCTCAGTATTTACCACATTCAGATTGCTCCAAGAACAGCCAATTCTGCACAGGTGCTCTTCAGAGAAATGGTTATCTCCTTTGGCTACTAAATTCTGGAAACTTCTTTGGGGAGAATTTTTTCCTCACTGTCATTTATTCCATCACAGAGCATTGCTAAGTGGAAGCAGTGTATCAGATGAGAAGCTTTTCCTTGGGTTGAAAGGCTTTGTCTTTATCGGTGACAACCTGACAATGAAAAAGTTTTAAAGAGCTCTGACCGTCTCTGTGAAAGTCCACTGGGAGAATGAAAAGTTCAGTCTTTTGAACTCTTTCTGTTTTGGTTTTATAATGTACAGTAGAATATGGAAATTACAGGATATAGAGGCGACCTTACTTATGGAGTCCAGTACTAATCTGGTTTTTCATTACATAGTGTATTTGGGGAGCTATAAGGAAGATTGCATGGGAATTCTTTTTCTTTATGGAGACCATTTTTTAAAGAAAAGCATCAATTCTTTATTGTTGCTCTAATTTGACATAGATTTTATCGAAAAAACAAGTGATTTTGAGTTTGGTGAATTCAGGAGAGGGAAACTAGGTAAGCTTGTTTTCTCTATAAGGCAGTGCTTTGCTCACCTTAGAGAAGGTTTTGTGATTCTTTTCAGTAAAAAAAAAAAAATAGTGTGAATATCTGGTGGCAAAGAATACTTTGGATGCAGTTTGACTTTCTATTACTTCAGGTATGGAGCCAGCTTGGGAAGATCATTCTCTGTCTGTAAACCTGGCCCTGTTCCAGAATAAGGGCAATGGGCAGTATGTGCAGGCTGCTTTCTCCAGAGAAAGCAGCAAGCATGGCTAATTATTCCACTTTAGTTCTTTGAACCCATTTTATTTTGACTTGTTGAACAAATGAATCAAGTGAATATTTTTTCCTAAAATAAAGCCCATTTGTCTTCAGTCTTGCAAATAAATACATTCTTTAAAAACAGTTAACACTCCCAGTGATTTTATCTTATTTTCTTATCCCCCAGAATAATATTTACAAAGAAAAAAGTGAATTTTTAAAAATGCTGTCAGGTTCTTTTAGTTATTGTTACACACAATAGTTTATCCTTGATAAGTGAATCTCTAACACTGTGCTGGGGTAAACAGTGTATGTTGGACACATGCAGTTCTGCCAGTCAGCTTAAATACATAATCTAAATATAATCTGCTTAACACCTCTTCTAGATATGTTACCCTATTTTAAGATAAGAAAACCGAGTCAGAGAATAAGTAACTTCCCCATGATTGCACAGCTAGTACATGACAGCTGAAATTCAGACTCCTGTCTGTAGAATTCCAGTAACTCCAAACCTCATGCTTCTTCCTTTATGACACATGGACTCTGTTTTGTATGGACTATCTAAATGGAAAAAATTAGACAACTACTTTTACCTGTTAAAATACAAAGTAATGCTCTTTTTATTTTTTAAGTGAAGCAAATCAAAGTTTTTACCTCCAAAAAAATTTGTGAGAACAGCTTGAACTGCCACCAAACCAGAGAAATACTGGAACATCAGAATATTCTAAATTCTAAACCACACCATTATTTCATTCACCTTGATTGATTAGATTGAGTTACTTTGTTCTGATGAGCAGATTTTCTGAATGTGTGGGAAATAGATATTTTGCAGCAATCCGAGTCAGTAAGAAGTACCTTTCCTTACTTCCATCCGCTATGGTGTAGGGTTCAGTAAGACCCTGCAGTAAGCACCTGTGGTAGGTTTTGTGACTCACAGACATCTAATGAGAATGTTTTCTTGATGACTTGACATTTCTGTGTCAGTGCTAGACAATAAAGGAATAGGGCTATTCAGAACACCAGGTGCTTGGTATTGTTATTCTTCAGTAGGAAGAGTCAGTAGTCAGGAAGAAGCCCAGTTTACGGTATTTTGAGGGCTTTTGACTAAATGTTTTGGGGAAATGTATGGACGTGGTTTATATTCCTATCTATGTGGAGACACAATAATGACAAGTATTTAGATTTGAGTTTTTTTTGTCATAATGAGGGAAGTCGGGAAGAAAAAACATACCCTCTCAAAAGTTCAGTTATTTGCAAATATTGTGAAATACTATCGAAAACTGCCCTTAAAATAGCTATTTCATCTGTCTGTTGCTTAAGTTCTCATTAATCTTTACTTTTTGACATTAAAATACAATAAATTGGTCAATTATTTTATGTCTTTGGGTTTTTTTTTATATTGATAATAACTTAAATCATGTCACTTTGGTTCTCTGTTGCTATAATCAGTAGTATCCTTCAGGACAAAAAAAGCATGCTGCTAACAGGCTGTGATTTAAAGATTTAAGCCAACTTTATGTTCAAACATTACATTCCTAATATTTTTAGCAGTATGATACAGTGGAGGTCCAAATTGGATTAGACTTTTGCATTGAATTCCAAAGTATTGGTAAGTCTAGCACATACCATATAATCTTGCAAAACTGTTGTGGGTACATTTTTTTTAAACCTGTCTGTCTGTCAGTATCTCGCATGGAGGTCATTTCTTAAGTAATACAGGATGACCTGAGAAATTCATAGTTAGTAATTCTTGAAAAAGCCGTATGAGTTATGGTGCTTTAACATGAGTCTACCTCACACCACCAATTGTTTGAAAATTGAGCACATAAGCAGATTTACCAAGATAACAGTGAAGCATTTAGTGTGGTTGAATGTGACATGTTGGAATGTTTTTTAGTTGCCTTTTTAGTTCATTATTAGTCCTTTTATGTTTGTGTGTATCTGTGTTCGTCTGTGTGTTTGGTAAATATGAATCGAATAGATGACTTCTTATTTTATGTTTTAGGCCAAGATTGACAGACACCTAAATATTCATGACTTGAGAATATTCTGCAGCTATAAATTTTGAACCATTGATGTGCAAAGCAAGACCTGAAGCCCACTCCGGAAACTAAAGTGAGGCTTGATAAACCTGTAGATTGCCTCACATTTGTCTGTTTACAAAGTAAACTTTACATCCAGGGAACGAAGAGCACCACCAGCAGAAGACTTTGCAGAACTCTCTAATTTGATGTATTGTTAAGTTTTTTAATACTTGTATGAAATGTAGAAAGATGTAAAAGAAATAAATTAGGAGAGACTACTTTGTATTGTACTGCCATTCCTGCTGTATTTTTATACTTTTTGGCAGCATTAAATATTTTTATTAAATAGACTATGTTGGTTTGTGTGCATTATCTTAGGACAGCTCTGCTTCAGATAATGTTTCCTTAAAGGGTTTACTCTCACTTTTTTATAACTCGCAATTGACATTTTTTTTGTTGTTTATTTGACAAAGACACGGCAAGAGAGGAAACACGAGCAGAGGGAGTGGGAGAGGGAGAAGCAGACTTCCTGCCGAGCAGGGAGCCCGATGCGGGGCTCGATCCCAGGACCCTGGGACCATGACCTGAGCTGAAGGCAGATGCTTAACGACTGAGCCACCCAGGTGCCCCCGCAATTGACATTTAAATTGAACTTGGTTCAAAACGCTGGTCACTTGCTTTTTAAGATCTTTTTTAGTTACCTCTCAAATAGTCTTCCTATCAAAATAGGTTAGGTGCAAGCACAAAATAAAAGTTATAATATTCCTTTTGTTACTTAGAAAAGTATGAATATGGATAATGGTATTAAATTGTTTTCAAATAAGTACAGCAGTTCAATGCAGTGTTTTAAAATCACTGTGTTACTCTTGTGTTGGACATTGTGCTTTTTTTCTCAGACATTTCCTGTTAGAAGAGACCAAGAGTTCCTTCCTGGGTGAGGCTTTTGGCTCCTTTCCCAACCAAGTGATGAGTTTGGGCTGAATATCCAGTCAGTTGTCAGGTTACTGGTGATATTCTTGTTGTCTAGACAAGACAAGCCTCTGAGTCATGTGAGCATCACCTTAACAGTCTAACAAACTCATAATTGTTTTTATTTTGCCAACTGTGAAAGTTTGATAATACCGTTCATTGAATACATCTCTTTCATCTTTTAAAAATGTAATGACTCTCCTTATGTTCCTTTTGCCTTGCTTTCCAGCATTTTTGGTTTATTTTAGGAGTAAGCAAACTCTTAATTCCTGGTAAATCTTTCATAAAGAATGCATGAAAAGTTCATTATACCACAAAGTAGTACAGCAAGATAATCCTCTTTTTGTGTCAAAGTTATTGAAGGTCATCTACACTCAACTAACTACTTCTATTTCCCATTTCCCATCCACCCTTTACCGACCAGTGCCTCATTCTTTTGTGTCACTCCAGAAATGACCCAGGACAGTCACCTTAGCTTGTACTGTAGCCAGATAGAGTTTACTCTTCAGTTTTTACTGTACATGACTTCTTGACAGCAACATTAAGAATTCCTTCTTTGAAGCTTTCTCCATAAACTCAGTAAGACCTTTCTTTGCTTGTTTTGCCTCAGTTTTTCTGCCTGACCCTTGATTGATTGTAAGAACACTTAACATGAGATCTCTCCTCTTAACAAAATTTTAAGTGTATAATACGTTAGTTACAGTGTTGTATAGCAGGTCTCTAGAGTTTTTTCATCTTGCTTAACTGAAATTTTATGCTTGTTGAATATGATTCCCTTTTCCTCCTGCCCCCACCCCCAGCCATTGGCAACCACCATTCCACTCTGATTCTATGAATTAGACTATTTTAGACACTTTATGTAAGTGGAAACACCCAGTATTTGGCTTTCTGTGACTTGTTTTACCTAGCATAATGCCTCAAGGTTTATCCATGTTTCTGCATATTACAGAATTTCCTTTTTAAAGGCTGAGTAGTATTCCATTGTATGTATACAGTTGACTCTTGAACAACACAGGGGTTTGGAACACCAACCCCCACACAGTCAAAAGTTTGTGTGTAACTTTTGACTTCTCCAAAACCTAACTAGTAAAAGCCTGTTGTTGACTGAAGGCTTACCAGTAACATAAACAGTTGACACCTATTTTGTATGTTACATGTATTCTATACCGTATTCTTACAATAAAGTTGGCTAAAGAAAAAAAATGTTACTCAGAAAATCATAAGGAAAAGAAAATACAGTTATAGTACTGTACTATGTCGATACCATAATTTTATGTTCTCTGTTTATAAGATGAATTATCTGTCAGGACCTGTATCAGTATTGTCTTATATGATATAAAAGACTGTAGATGTGATACATATTCCTAACACTAGACATCAAAAATGGAAAGGTAAAGTGAAAAATCCAGATTTCTTTGTAGGAATAATGATTCATGCATTGATAACAAGCAGCAATATGATTACTTTATGGTAACCTAATGTAATCAATACAATTGCTTCACAGTGGCCTAGCGTAATCAATATGATAGTCTAGCATTACCTTAATGAATGAATTGTTATAAAATTTTTGCGGCATACAGTATTACAGTCATATTCATAATACAGTATTGGAAACATTAACATGTGATACATCTAGGCAACATGGTTCATCTGTGCATTTTTTCAAATTGTTGCAAATCTCCAAAAAATGTCTAATATATTACTGAAAAAAAATCTGCAAATAAGTGGGTCCACATAGTTAAAACCTGTGTTGTCCACCTGTGTTGCCACATTTTCTTTATTCATCTGTCAGTGGATTCAGTTGTTTCCACATCTTGACTATCATGAATAGTGCTGCAGTGAACATGGGAGTGCCAGTATCTCTTCAAAATCCTGACTTTTAATTCTTTGGGATAAATATCCAGGAGTGGGGTTGCTGGATCATGTGGTAGTTGTATTTTAATTTTTGAAGGAACCTCCATACTCCATAGCAGCTGCACCATTTTGCATTTTCACCAACAGCACAAGGGCTCCAGTTTCTCGACATCTTCAACACTTGTTTTTGATAATACCACCACGCATGGGTGCATTTCCATGATTAGAGCATCTTTTGATAAACCTGTTGTCTTTGGATAACTGTTCTTTGCCTTTCAACTGGTTTATGAGTTTTTCTGCCATTGAATTGTAGGAGTTCCTTATATATATTTTGGAGACTAACCTTTTATTGGGTACATGGTTTGTAAATATTTACTCCCATTTAGTAGGTTGTCTTTTCACTCTGATGGTTTCTCTTCTCTCTGACTTGAATATTGGAGCTCCCAAGGACTCTGTCTTTGGGCTTTAACATATTTACCTTGAATGATCTCATCTTTTCCCAACTCTTTATCTGATTCCTCTGTGCTGATCATATGCAACTTCCTCCACTCCTGCCCCGGTGTTAGCTCTGAGTTATAAATCATATATCCAATTCCGTAAATTGTAATGGCATAAATTTCTTAAACCCCAAAATTGAGTGTTAATTTCCCTCATCCCGAACTCCCCATTCCTCCTGTCTTATCAATTCGGTGGCACCCATCAGAAACCTGAGATTTATTCTAAATCCCTCTACTTGGGCTCCACATCCAGTTGGTCACAAAGTTCTGTTAATCCTACTTCAAACTTTCATTACAGACGGGGAGCACAGCAGTAGACTCTCCTGCCCCCTGTGATAACACCTGTTTGTACCAATCCACTCTGCACAGCCTCCCAAGTGATTTAAAATAAAGATCTGAGTGTCACCCTCCTTAAAATTAGCTAATGGCACCTTAGAAAAACTTGCCTTCGTTTTAAATCCCGAACCCCCAGCATGCTGTGTGCAACCATTTCATCTTTTGGCTGTTACCTGACTGTCCTTTTTTTTGCTTTTTTGTTTTTTTCCTAGTTTTACTGAAAAATAATTGACATTGTCACTGTATGAGTTTAAGGTGTATAGCATGATGGTGTGATATGCATATATTGTGAAATGATTACCATAGTAGGTTTAGTTAATATGCACCTTCTCATATAGATACAATAAACAGAAGAGAATTCTTGTGATGAGAACTCAGGATCTACTCTTAACTTTCATGTGTATCACATGGCAGTGTTAGCTATAGTCATGTACATTACATCCCTGGTACTTATAACTGGAAGCTTGTACCTTTTTCCAATTCTCCCTCACCACCCACCCCCCCAACCATCCACCTCTAGTAACCACAAATCTGATCTCTTTTTCTGTGAGTTCATGGTTTTGTTTACACATATGAGTGGATCACACATATTAAGTGAGATTATACAGTATTTGTGTTTCTCTTCTTTCACTTAGCATAGAGCCTTCAAGGTCTACCCATGCCACAAATGGTAGGATTTCCTTTTATTTATTTATTTTTTTTTTTTTTTTAAGATTTTATTTATTTATTCATGAGAGACAGAGAGAGAGAGGCAGAGGGAGAAGCAGGCTCCCAAGGAGCAGAGAGCCCGATGCGGGACTCGATCCCAGGACCCTGGGATGATGACCTGAGCCGAAGGCAGACGCTTAACCATCTGAGCCACCCAGGTGCCCCCTTTTATTTTTTTTGATTGAATAATATTCCACACATACCACATCTTCCTTATCCATTCATCCATTGATGAGCACTTAGGTTGTTTCCATGTTTTGCCTATTGTAAATAATGTTGCTATGAACATGGGAATGCAGATACCTTTTTGAGTTAGTGTTTTTATTTTTGGATATATTCCTAGAAATGGAATTGCTGGATGACAAGTAGTTCTATTCTTAATTTTCTGAGGAACCTTCATACTGTTTTCCTTAGTCACTGTACCAATTTACATTCCCACAAACAGTGCACAAGTGTTCCCTTTCTCCACATCCATCCTCCTGTCTTTTTGACGATGGCCATTCTAACAAGTATGAGGTGATACCGTGGTGGTTTTAATTTGTATTTCCTTAATGATTGGTGTTGTTGAACATCTTTTCATGTTGGCCATTTGTGTGTCTTCTTTGGAAAAAATGTTCGGGTACTTTGCCCACTTTTTAATTGAATTATTTGGATTATTTTGCTATTGAGTTGTATGAGTTCTTGATATATTTTGGATGTTAACCCTTTATCAGATATGGTTTGCAAATATTTTTTTCCCACTTTGTAGATTGTCTTTTCACTTTGTTGATGGTTTTGCTGTGCAGAAGCTCTTTAGTTTGATGTAGTCCCACTTGTTTATTTTTGCTTTTGTTGCTTATGCTTTGGGTGTGACTGCCTGTCCTTAATGGGCACCCTAAAGGGCAGCTATGTCAAACCATTTGGAATTAGTGGAATATTCCTTGCTCATTAATTTGTTGAATGAATATTTATTGAACACAATGTGCTGAGCACTATACGAGGTCTTG